GAAGTTAGTGCATGTACGGCACAATGCTAGCGACTAATTTCTGAAAATGCCTCGCCGCCACATTAGCACCAGTGAACAACACTTTCAGAGCCTCAGGATAAAGTGTGAATTGCAACAGGAGCACTTTCCCGTTGTGCCAGCAATGTGAAACAAATGCTCCCTCCCTACAACAAAATCTACAGCCTGACAGTGCTCGCTGCGGCAAACGACTGTAGTGATTGAGATGACATGGAGAGGCATAACATCCCGAGTTCTGTGGTGTAATGTTAGCGCACCTGACTGGCAAGCAGGAGGTCGGGGTTCAATTCCCGGGCACCCTCCCCGTTTTCGACACCTATGTGCTGCGTTCCTTGCATCAAGTTGCTCAGCAGGCTGCACGGCTCTCCAATTCCGGCGCTTAGCATTCGCTGCTTCTTGCTGTTCAGAGGTCTGAGCGGCCCTACCCTCCCTACTTACATCTGCTTGCTGTTTATCACTGATTCGAGCCATTACGGCTAGTACCGATTTCGGCACTTCACACCGCAATTGCAGTGGCAAACGTTGTTTCCGCACCTGCACCAACCGTTTTTTACCAGCAACAGCTGCCTCATCGCCGTCCTGTGGGACATTCTTCAACCTCACCTCACAAAAATCGCTATCGTTTTCATGGGAAATGCACCTCATTTGCGCGACATATGAAGCAGAGACATTTCAGACTATTATTTTGACTTCATCAATCATGAGAACTCAAATCGACCATGACATGAAACGCAAACAGAAAACTATTGCATGGAAGCGATGACGCGAACCGCCACGCCTGACCTAACGAAAAAAATTACATACAGAAAAAAAATACTTCAACAAAGAATGTATTCAAATGGAGAACTTGCAGTCGATCAGTGAAATCGTCACACGCATTCAGTTATTACCACCCTTTGCTTGACACAGCTAAGTATGAAGCCTATGGAAATAATAGGATGAGCCACAGCCTATGCCTCAGAATAGCATAGCCGCATCTCATGGACCTGGCGCTTTGAGCGCTGGATGACGAGAGTGAACGTGCCAAAATCAACTGGTCGAGGAAATTGATGAGTCACACGCCTCGAGAGGGTCAAGAAATCCCCTTCATAAGAAGGAAGAATACATTTGCGCGAAAATTACACTCAATCCACGGCTGCCAGAGAGAGAGATTTTTCTGTCCTCAGGTTGGAGTACCTCGAATTTGGGTTGGGGAAAGAGAGGGAGTGTCGTCTGAAAATAAATTGCTGGAATTAGACTATTTCAGTCCTGGCGGGACTCAGAAATTCGCACATTTTTAAAAGTTTTTATTGAAGGACTATACAGGGTGGGGCAAAAGTGAGGGAACGTAGAACTTTTCGGGTAATGTAATTCTCAACGTGACCGCTTGATGGTAGCACCGTACCGCTTTTTCATCAATTTGGCACACAATAGTTGAAGTAAGAGGGAAGAGAGGGAGAAGAGAGAGTTTTTCATTCAAGTTTCTGCGTTTTTTATCACGAGTCAACAAGATTGACTCGTGCTAACAAACCAACAGACCAACAAAGTGCGGACTGCCGGATTCAGGGTCGGCCATTTTCCGTGCGACGGAAAATGGCCAAAATGATCTTCATGGGACCGAGCCAGAGGCAGACTCTCAGCCCTGCGGTTTTGGAATTCGTTGTTGTGTTGACTCCCACAAAAAAGATCATGGGGCCATGAAAATTTTCCAAAACTTGCGCTTTTTTTTGTTGAGAATGTCATGCTTTTCAAGTGTCATGAGAGCGGTTCAGGACTCATAAAACCGCTAACTTCCTCGTGATAACTGCATTCAACCATGTCAGGATTTTCCGTATCATCCAGGGGTGTCAAACACGCCAGTCCATATTGTCCGGCCCGAGAAGGCCTCTTCAACGGTTGGTTACGGAAACGTACTGCACATTTCAGCCTGTTCGCATTAAAGATTATGTATTTACTTTTTGTTGTGGCCCTTAATCACCCTTGATGGCTTCCATCCAGCGCCCAGCATAATCGAGTTTGACACCCCTGATAAGCCGTTCATGCATTCTTGGCTGGCGTAGGTTTATAAGCAAGAAATTGGCCCTAGAGGTCACATGTGCCTGAAAATTGAAATTCTGGAATTTCACGCCTCACGTACCAACGTGAAGAAAATGTTAACACTCTCGATTACTAGAGTTTCATGTAAGATCTGTCAGATCTGAATTTTTCCATTTTTTTCTGAGTCGGTGAAGCGTCAACTCTCTTCATAACCTCGTCAGAAACACGGAATGGGCCACGGTCGAAGAAAAGTGATAGTCGCCCCATCGTCCGTAATAAGACCTTCCGTCCCCCAAAGAATCTTCAGTTTCTCCGGTTCCCATGCGGTTGTCGTCAATCCAGGAAGGGCTGTGGAAACCGGAGGAAGAAGAATGAAGGCCGCATGCTGCGCAGGCCCGTATCGATCGCCTCCTCCGTTCCTCACTCCCCCCACTGCACGGGGAGTACTGCTCGTAGGATCTCTTACTCCGTCGCGCAATACCCTTTCGGGGCCAACGTGACTCTCACGGCGTTACTATCAAGACCGTCGTTTTGCCTCATGACTACTCTATTCCGCAAGACAGTGCTTACAGCTGCAAGCATTTAGGATGTGTAACCCCTACTTAACCCTGCGCCTTCACGGATGAGACCATTCACCGCCAATGACTACAGTGAGTCCACTTTATAGTGTAGCCGACATCGCCGACATCGCCGACCAAGGACTGCCCTTCGCGTCGTGAGTAACGATGACTATTCCGTCTTCAACATCCTTTCCCATTTAACTCCCCTTTTTTTTCTTTCCTCATAATGGCGACGATTTTCTCCCAATCATAAAAAAATAACGCAGGTGATATCAAACACCTATTTGCCCAACAGCTGATTTGTTAGTGTCTCAACCTTTACATTTTAATTTTAAATTACCCTTTATAATTTAATAAATTAAAGAACCCCACTGTAATGAAGCGAGAACGGACGCAGGAAAACATGAAAACTTGAGCTTTTTCCTTCATTGAGCCTCATCTTTGTCTTAACCGTCTGCCACTGCAATATCAATTTTACCTTGGTATGTGGTAATCCTGCTACATTGCAAAGTGCTTCTTAAATATATTGCGGATTGGCATCACGTGCATTTAACTCACTCATCTCATTTTTTTTACGTGCATTCATGGTAAGGCAATTAATCTCCAACCCAAATACCTGCATTAAGAAATGCGTTCTGTTCGAGGATTCATTAAACTTGTGGAAGTGAATCGTTCCCATTAAATTAAGAAGGAACTAAAAAAAAAAAATTGGGGGTCTGGGATTTGAAATGCGGCTTATAATCGAAACAGTTATCTAAACCGAACAGAGATGGCGCCAGTGGCCATTCTCCATTCAGATTGACCACACCAAGGTCAAATGGCAATTTTTTTTGCAATATTAAAACGAATTCTAGTAGTGGAAATGGAGGAGGTTTGAATTATACATAACACTGGAATTTCGGTATAAAATTAATATGAAAGGTCTTCCGGAACAGGTCAAAGGTCAACTCAGAAAAAAAAATCTTAAATGAGTTTGCAAAAAAAAAATTAGAAACCAAATTAGCTACCGATGATTAAAATCCGGTCAGTGATCCGCCGCTCGGTATGTTTGTTGTTGTTGATGTCCTTTTTTTTCCCTTTTTGTGCAGTGAATAAGGTCAGTTCCACCTCGCGGGGAAGAAAACCGTTTTGGCGAATCGGGTGAAATGAGAGTCCTCGTGCGACGGTTTTCTTCATGACCGGGAGAGCCGGAGAGATTCGATTCCTGAAGCACTGGATATAAGGGATTTCAGACGACACTTGGTGTCTGGATCATTTCGCGAGGAATGAGCATTCCGCGAGGAATGAGCATTCCGCAAGAAATGAGCATTCCGCAAGAAATGAGCATTTCGCAAGAAATGAGCATTCCGCAAGAAATGAGCAATTCGCGAGGAATGAGCATTTCGCAAGAAATGAGCGCGACCGGAGGCTTCTCTCAGGTGAGTCGGTGCTTTTTTTTTCTTCTTGCCATTTTTTGCCTTTTGCAGACCTAAATGGTTCCTTGGAAGGGGATGGTGGCAATCTGCCAGTTACGCATGAACTTCATGTTGCAAAAAAAAAGAACTAAATCAGCAGAGGCCACGTTAGGAAAGGTTTATTTCCGCGTTCACCGCCTTCCATCCTGTTAACCCCGGCATTTCTCCCTTTGGAACCCTGTTGACAAGGAATGGCCCGGGAAAAAAAAAAAAAAGTATTTCCAACGCCGTGTATCTGTCCAACGCCAGAACATGTGTTTCCATTAGAAATTATTTAAAATAAAATAACTATGGCGCTATTAAAGACAAAAGATTACAATGATCATCGTGGAATGAGTGGACGCAGTTGCCATGATTTAGAAATTCAAAATGCATTCCCTCTCCCAAAAGCAAATTTTTCTTATCCATCCATACTCATAATCGCCTCATAATCGCCTCATAATCGCCTCATAATCGCCTCATAATCGCCGGAAGATGGAGTCTGCCAGGGTCCGAAAATATTTTATTTTCTTCCGGAAGATTTCTCCCTTGCAGGTGTTTCTATGCCTACACGTTTCCACGTTTCTTCCATCCATGCATAATTTTGTCATCTTTATCCGGAAAAAAAAAACGAAATCGTAAACTTACCAACCTTCAAGAGGATTCGGGTCGGATTGTGAGCAGGAAATTTCTTTTACCCTTTCCTTTTCCCTTTTTAGCCTTTTCCAATCATGAAATGGTGTCCGAATGAAAGGAAGCGACAGACGATTTCGGCCGTATGATCAAATCGGCTCGCGATGAGTCATCAAAATACTCGTGCCAGACTAAATAAATATTTTCATATTTATTTTCATAATATTTTCAGGGTTTCATTTCTCCAGGCAATGAAATGATTCCCCAACGTTCCTTTTAACTTGTTAAGAGATTTCCCTGGTGCGTTTCGAATGTTTCATGGCAAGCCACTAGGACTCGGCTCGACAAAATTTCCCGTTCGACGTCATCACAATTGACAAATATTGAAAAATCTTTTTTTTCTCTCAATTGACAGGAACAGGCTGCCGCGAATTCCTGCCTGCGAATTCCTGGCCCCGCTGCAGAATTCGCGAAGTGCGAATTCTGCAGCAGTGCCCTGGCCGACCTCCCGACTGGAAGCGAGTGCCGCCCGTGCGGAGGAGGGTTCGACATCAGGGATTTCCTCAAGGTACCAAGCCTCGTCCATGGCTTCTCGTGGATGAGATAAAAGTTTTCTGGCAACGAGGAATTTCTTAGCACGTTTCCGTCCGTCAACGTAGATTTACCTCGTGAGAGAACTTTCACGTGTCCTGCAAATCTGCGCTATGGCGCACGTCGTACTTGAGTAATTTTCAAAACTAAATTTCTGAACGCACGATTTCACCTGACCGATAACTTATTCAACATACCATGAGGTTGATTTTTGATACGAGGGATTCTCTATAGATGGCCCTATTCGTAAAAGAATTTGAAAGTTATTGCATTCGTGATTTTGTGGTACTTAAAAAAACATCAAAAGTAAATATTTCTGTCACTTTTCGAAAGAAATTTTCGCTTTGAAAAGTTTTTACCGATAAAGGGTTTATCGCTATATGATTCCCAGTGCAGTAAAAGTGACTCGTGAACGAATAAGACCCTGAAATTTCTTCTTCCAACGATGGCGTGATGGTGAAACCGTCGACTTCGTATCCCTTCGCGAAGGAGACACCTTTAAACTCGCCAGAACTTGAAAAATATGGGAGGGGGGACTGGGCACGAAATTGCCGGCACGAAATTGCCGGCACGATCGAACCGCTTGCTCTAGGTGCACGTGGGCGCGGGGACGATCCTGCCGTTCGAGGAGGCAGCTGGTGCCTATATCCAGCGGCATTATCCCGGGGCGGGGGAGACTCATTACTCCCTGCCCTCGGATCTCCTCGCCCGGGACGGGGAGGCACGCCGAAGCGAGCCGGGCGGGGACGGCTTGGAGCCTGATGATGACGCGGTTGCGGCCGTTTTCGACAGGGCGAAGGAATTCTGCGGTTCTGCTCCGTCCCTCGTGATTGCGGATTTCAAGTTATGCAATGCCATCAAGTCGTCGCTTCCCGTTTGCCTGAAACAGCGGCGAAAGAAACTCTCGGTGGAGTCCGACGTTCTCGGTCTACCGAAAGACGATCGTAACGTTTTCCTCTTGTGCTCTGGCGGAAACCGGGTTTACGGCATTTTCTTCGAAATCAAAAGAACCACCTCGAAAGAAGGATTCGCGACCGTATCCAAAAGGATCAGAGAAGCGATTCACCAGTGCGATAGAGACGTCACGACCTTGAAGCTCACCTGTGCAGCTTTCCTGAATAGCGGTGCTTTTATTGCTGCCTTCCCTTCCGTTCCGTTCCTGAAGAGATCGGACTTGCAGACATTGCACATGTGCGATTCCTGTGCACGGAAGGTTTTGACCGGTGACGATCTGCGATGTGGAGACGACTTCCGGAAGTTCCTCGAGAAGAACAATTTCCAGGAAATGCCCTGCATCGAGATGTGCAATCCCGGCACGAAGACTCTCTATTGCGAAGCCTTTTCTCTCTGCGCGTGCGCCCACTCCTCCGTCCGATTCTCGCGCATGCGCCTCCAGAACACAAAAGCCCGCGAAGAAAGGAACACCCTGTGCATTCTGACCCCAGAGCAGAAGAGGCTCGTGGACGACAGGTCGTCGTGGCCGCTCCTCATCGCAGGCGGATCGGGCACGGGGAAGACCCTCGTCCTCAAGGAGAGAGCAAGGCGACTCGCCGAAGACGGCGTTCGAGTCGTCGTCTTCAGCTTCGCCGGCGAACGTCTCACGAAAATTCTGCAGGACGAATTTCGAGGTCAGTCGTTCCGAAAGAAATCCCTTCGTCTCTTTTTTGCGTCCTCCCCCGCAGTCCGTCCAGTTTCCTAAATGCGACTTCGTCTGATGATGCAGTCGGTTCTCGCTTTTTAATTATTTTTATTGTAATTAGACCGCAGGACGTTCAGTCTGGACGTCGATTTAGCGGACTTTCCCACATGTCGAACACGACATGTTGTTTGTCATACATGTCGATCGTTACACGACGAGGCGATACTTTCTGAACGCCTAGCGAACGAAGGAAAACCATGTCGAGACTACTTCCCCAAACCCGATTTCGCTAATTGGTTCAGGCAATTAGTAGATCTCAGCAGACTCGGACGCGAGCACCAAGCCTCTTGCATTTACCTCATGCATGCTTCAGGAATTTGCACGAGATTTGCCAGCTTCTCGCGGAACGCGAGGCCAAGACCAATTCTCGGTCCGTGAGATCTAGTTAACATACGAAGCAGATTACGGAAGCGTGATCGTAATGCTAATTAACTGTTGGCATGGATTACGGACGACTCTTAACCTTCATCGGACGAATGCCACAACTGCTGTGCCACAAAATGTATTTTCCATGGCCTAAAGTTACAAATGCTGCACCGGAACTTCTCGGGAAAATGCTCTGGTATTACGTGAATGGTCAGCGAATGTTCACGAGCTTTGCAAAAAAGAAAATCTGGCTGTCGCTTACGCTTAATCCGTCCGATTAAGGTTAAGTTCCTGATCCTTGTCCGAGTTTCAGAATTGAAATCCCCTTTGTCTACTCAAAGATCTCCTTGAATTGCTCCAGCATCCTGGACCAGATTCGATCCCATCCCATCCTAGAAAGGATGGGATCGGTTAAGGGTTAAGGGTTACGTTTTCAGAACCCCTTAAATGATGGAAAACTAACCACGTGCATCTACTATTTCGTATCGTGGAGTCCGTTATCTGAGGATATAAGGCACGATTCATCATAATGTTCCTCTGGGAAAATGATCAGCACATACCGCATCATGCGAGTAAATGGCAAAATGGCAATGTAGGAGCAAGGAGAGGAGAAGTGGTCATAGCTTTTCGCTGCTTTGAGAGGGTCATCTGTTTTCTCCGCAGAGGACGAGGAGATCCGAGTCGTCCAGGGTCGAGAGGAAGACCTCTGGAAGTCGAGGAGCGTCCTGGGCTTCCTGAAGCATCTCTTCCAAAATGGGAGCCGTTCCCTGGAGGAGGATTTCGCGGGGTTCTGGAACTTCCTGAAGACGGCGGGAGGGGGGGGGCACGTCCTCGTGGACGACGTCTCCGTCGACCTGGGATTCCCGGACGTGAGAACCGCGGAAGACCTGGACGCCGAATGGAGGCTCATTTCGGGGATGAAGAGTCACTTCAGGTCCGTCACCATCGCGTTTCGAACGAACGATCCGTCTTACTGGGGGGATCCCATCCTGCAAGACCTCATGGCAAATGGATCATACCACATCGCACTTTTAACTTCCATGAAAAGGTGCACTAAACGCATATCAGAGTTGCTCCTGGCCATCCAAGACATCGACAAGTTATATTTCACTCCCGAGCGCACCATCAAGTTGGAATTGGCCGAACAAGTCGACCAGTGGCTCCCCCGTTTCATCGTCATTCCGTCTCATTGCCGCCACTGGGTCGATAAGAACTTATTTTGCCCCTGGTTGGAAATGGCATGCGCCATCGAAGCCATCTACGAAAAGTACTCGTCGATGCTGCCGCTGGTCGTCGTGTGCGAGTCCCGTTTTTGGGGCAGCGAGCTCTCCATCCCGTTCGTCCGCGTCGAGGGGAGGGAGGCGATCCTCCACAACGGACGGCGGGGGATGCCGCCCGTCGTCGTCGTCTCCCGCGACGAGATCCTGGGCTGCCACCTGAGGAACGCGACGGTGGTCGTGGACCTGGACCTGTCGTGGCAGGGGACGAACAAGCTTCGGGTGATCGCTCCGTCTGGCGATAACAAGATCCTCCTGATCACGAAGAGGGACGCCGCGATGGGGAAATTCTCCGACTTGGTGACCGGAAATAATCCGTGGAAAATAAAGATGCAAACCATCGACGATGTCTGCGGAAAAATGAAAACTCGAAAGCGGGAGAAGGAAGCGGAAATGTTATCATCGATAACTTTATCGGATTTTAAGCCGGCTCCTGTACCCTTCCCTCAGTTGGAAATGAATTTCGACGTGTGGGAAGAGGAAGACGAGGCGGACGTGAAGAAGATTCTTGGATCTTGGCTCACCGGAATTTTCGGATATCCGGCGTCCGGGAAATCGAGGAAAGTGGACCGAGCGATTAAACGGGTCGTGGAGCTTCGGGGCGGAGTTCTTCTGTTGCTCTGCGGAAGCGAAATCTTCAACGAGCTCAGCCGGCGGCGGTGGAAGTCGCGGGCGAGCGTGGAGGTCGCGCCCTTTCGCGGTGGCGGGAAGGGTTTCCGGTCGCTCCGGGATGTCGCTGAGAGCGTCTTCGGCGGGTTGAGGGGGTATTTCGGGAGGGTGAAGAGGGAGGACGTGGTGGGTCCCGTCGTGGTCGTGGTCGAGGACTGTCCGTTGTGGAAGGGGGAATTTGACGACGTCGATGCGGTCGTGAAACGATTGAAGGCGAACGGCGTGAAGGTGATCCTTTCCTTCAAATCCCATTCCGTTCGTGCCTCTGAAATCTCGGTGGAAAGAGTAATAAATGCTCTGGAGGAGAACGAGGGGTCAATTGCCATCGCGATCCGATCTCAGCCGACGAACCATCATCTTCTGGATTGCTTGATACAAAACGAGAGTTCCTTTCATTGGAGTTTGAACTCGACGAGTCTGTGCTTGCTTCCAGAAGCCGTCGATATGGTCGATGGCCCGCCGGTGCAGTACGTCAAATATTCCTGTTCGGGGCGTCATTTAGGGTATAGCTGCCTCGGAAAGAATTACTGCGGGAACAATTTCCTCGTCCTGACTTCCCTCGTGCAGTCACTTCTTCCCGAGTCGGCGGACGACGATCGGCCCCAAGTGCTCGTAACCGACGACGAATATCGAGATTTTCATTAGGAACTTTCCTTGCTCGGAAGAGGGAGGAAAGAAAAGAAGAATCCCCTGAAGAATTCTCTGTGAAGACCTTGTTTGGAAAATCAACACCAGAAGTAGACAAGGTGCCGGATGAAGCGTTGTTAGGAGGAATCCTGCTTGTTGCCCGTGTCCCATCTGAGGCCATCCGTTTCATCCCTATTGCACCTTATTTGAGTAAGCCATGATACTTGTCCTCCTTGTCTCCCTGCATCCTTACCTCCTTTCTTAATAATAATAGTGCTCCCAAGGAAAATGATGAAGGAAAATGAACCCCAACCTATTTGGTCGATTTACTTGGAATTGCCTCCTTCCATGTTCTTGAATGACACGATTTTTGGACACGCCATGGGTGTCAGACCACATCCATACCTACCGTTTACATATTTCTATTTCCCTCTACCTTCATTCCTCTCTCATCTTCCTCATCATACATCGCTGTGTTCATCTCTAAGCGGAATATGCAGAGTCATTTCTTACCTTTACCGTGCTTTTCCATGTATCTGCTTCCGATGTCAGGTATATTAAGAAAATCCATTCAGAGGAATTCTCCTGCAAATAGCGCATTGAAAGTTTCATTCAATCGTTATGACAGTGAATGAAAATTTCGGCAACTCAAACATTATGGGTCCCGATCAATCGAATTGAGATTTCAAGAATTCTATTCATCAGAAATTGACTGTTACCAGGAAAACGAAAAATTTTTCGCGTGAAGGGAATGTTATCTGTCGCTTTTTCATTTCTCTGATGAAGGGAAGAAAATATTTCCCTACTTATGTACATGGCTTCCTTTCGTTTATATATCTCTAAAATTATTAATAGTCTCAAAACAACCCCACTTCCAGGTTTTCTTCATTCTGTGAAGTCCCATCGTAAAGCATCTTGTCAGTTGAAAAAATCACTGTTTGAATCGAACCGTCGTTCGAAAGATCGAAGGTTTCAAAAGCCGGTTGCCATTGTAGTTCAGTCAGGACCAAACCATGAACTTCAAGATGAGCAAAAATTCATAAAATCATGAGATCATGAACGCTTGAATGTTTCCTCCTCTCCACTACCAGCATGAGCTTTTGACTATTCTGAATATCTAGCTTCTTTTAGATATTTGCTCATAGTTTTTCTTTGGCCCAACCAATACGGATGAAATTTCAAAAAGTGAGTTGGAAGCATAATCATGGTGAAATCTTCACGAAAATAGCTCCTGTGTGAGCGGAAATTTTCAGGTCAAAAGTCGCTGGTAATTTTGTTGTTCTACTTTATATATTAGATGAACCATCAGGACAGTCAAGTCTAGGCAAGAGTTGAGAATGAGAAGCTGTGCTTCGATTCAAAATCTAATAATCGGCCTGTGATCCCACTGAAGACAATGGGAAGCAACTGCATCAAAGATGCATTGGTGAGGCTAATGTATGTCTTCACGTACTATGACTGAACAATATCAATTGAGACATGTTGGTAAATATGATGTATTTCATTGGCAGAAAACCTAAGATTTTATATTTCCCAATTTAAAATGGTTTTCAGTAAGAGGACTGTGAAATAGGGACATGATTCACGAAATGGTTCAGTATTGCATTCCAAGACAGACATAAACAACATGCTCCCTCATAGCCAGTTTACCAGTGATGACGACTTGAACGTCATCGGGGTATTTGAGACGCTCTTTTTGACGAAAAAATGTGTGTCCGTATGACAAGAGATTAAATAAAATGTTCAGATCCATCTGGGCGAAATTGGATTCCGCCAAGTCACTATTGAACTTCCTTGAGCATGCATCGTTCAGGTGGTGAAGCAAGGTAAATTCATCTCCGATACCAAGCATGAAATCGATGTGATGAAATCGTAAGTGTAAATAATGGAAGAGGATTGTAGAACAGATTGTTTCCATTCTGTTCTACATCATCCCTTACTCTCGCTTTCTCTTCCATTTATTCCAGACCCTTGGAGTAGAAATAATACGTATGACATGTGGATGCCCATGACAAAGCTGCCCGAGGTGCTTGGAGAAGATCGAGTCCCCCCTTCCCTCAGGAGAATCTCATTCCGAGGGAGTGCGGCAGTGCTATGGGACTGGCACACAGAACCCTTGCTCCGGGCCCTGGACATGCATCTGGCGGGTTTGCACTTCTCTAGCTCAAGTACGGAGAGAATTCCTACTTTCTGTCCTTTTTTTTACCTATTGTAATTTGCATAGGTTCGAGCCCTTTGCCAGATGTGTCCAAGTTCGAGACAGAGTAGTTTCCATTGTCGGGACTCAACGCTATGATTAAGAACATTGCCAACCACATCCGGTTGTGTCGTCGGCGGAGTAACGAGGTCGATTTGGGATTCGTTTGACATGTAAGGCTCAGAACTTGCAAGTTCCCTACGTTTCCCCGAACTTAGTTTCTGGAGCCATCCTGGCTCCAGAAACTGAATTCACAAGAATACTCGCTTTCGCTAGTATTCTTGTGGATTCAGTTTTCTAAGAATTTTTTTCAGCTTCCCACGGGACTTTTTCGTGATAGTTTGATACTCAATAAGTTACTTAAGTGCTGCGTGACAATCAAATCAAATGATATGATTTTTTGGCCTTGAACCTAAAAGACCAGACATTGTCGAACATATTCCCAATATGTTCCTTATTTCGATAGTCTCGAATATAAGAATGAGCTTAAATTCCACCCCATATGGAAATTAAGAAGATACGGAAGAAAACAACGAAATCTCAAGCATATTTCAGAAAATTCAAGAAGCACCATGGGAAACGAAGACCTATATTGAGGCTCAACTGAATGATCTGCTTTCCTGAATTGAGATGAAGTCCTTCCCGTTGTTAATTTAAATGTTATAGCTGCCAGCATTCATTGGACAACTTTGTCTGCTGCTACTCTTTCAGGAAGCCATAAATTCTCACGTTAAGATTCCCTTAGAAATGTATGCTCATGAAATTCCTGCAGACTTCCAAATGCCAACAAGCGAATGAAATGTCCTGCACCTCCCTAAAAGCGATCCCAAGTTGCCAGTTGCTCCAATTAATTTTTTTTCCTGAAGTCACCATTTATAGCTACATAGAGAACATTTAGAACTACATATGTACAAATTTTCGATTTTCTATTATATCTGGAATAAATTTCCAGCATGTGACAGTCACTATCCTCAACAAAAAATAAAACATTGTGTCCTGTCTGTATATTGGAAAAGGTGTGTAAATCATTGAGAAGTTTCTTTCCCACCCAACAGGCATATTGAACTGAATAACGAACCGTATCGAATTACGGGCGTCTGCCCGTACTTAGAAACGCCCCGCTCGAAATGTCGGTGCTCTATACCTCTCTAATTAATTCCGCAATCTTAAACTTCAAAATGACAATACGGTCATTTTGCCCCCTACCCACTTTCCAGAACCCAAGTAGTCGCGATGAGTAGACAGCTAAGATAGTATTGCCCATGAGTGCTTGGGATGAATATTCACATAACCGGCGAAAAATAACCTCGAACTTTGGCTCATTGCGATATTCTCAAGGTGCATATACTCCTTAGAAAAGCATCCTCTGCTGGGGTTTATCCTTAAAAAAAAGTCTTACTTTCCGATCCCATAGTCCTATTAAGTAGTTTCGTTCGATTATCCAATACAATGGCTGTATATAGTTGCTTCCAAAACCAGTAAGGTCGGTCTTTGTCTGGGCAGTCACTTTAGAAGACTGGAAAATAAAAAAAAAAACTCATCGCATCGCTTTAACATATATCTGAGCATTTTTAAAACGATATTTCCCGCTATACATGCTGGTTGGTCCTGCAAATTTTGCTTTCGCAAGTTCAACTACTGGTACTATTTTGACGTCTTTACTACGAAGTGAAAACATGCAGAAAAAAAGAATTCATTCAATAGGTCTAGCAGTCTCAAAGAATAGGAGGAGAGAAACTAAGTTACGCAACATGCTTTAAAGAGTTATCATTTGTTGGCTGAGGCAGCAAAGAGGGAATTGTGTGGGAGCCCTTCCTTGCTCCCTTTCTCCATCCCCTCCCCTCCAGGTAACCCAACCAATCGTGAGCAATTTTAATCTTCCTTTTGCAGAAGCTCTGAGGAAGCACCTTTTTGGGCAAAGGTGGCCTCACTCCCCTTTTTCTTCATTTTGAAGGAGCTCTGAGGAAGCACCTACGAGTGTTTCGGCAAGATCGGGATCACTCCTCCCTCGAAGGTTCGTTCAGACATTTCCTGGCCAAGTGCATGCATCGTTTTTCACTTTTCAATGTCTCTCATTGCCATCCTGTCAGCTACTTTGATGCAGAGAGAGGTCCATGCTTGTTCATTTGTTCATTGAGATATGACCTTACGCTTCCCCCAAAAAATACTGAACAAAACTCAATGCTCGCAATTTTTATGGAATATCTTCTCATGTTAGTTGCCAAATTCTTACAACATAATGTCCTGGCATGAAATTCAGGATGACAATTTTCTTAACTGAATAACATTCATTCAATGTATACTTTTCAATATAATACACACCATGAATGAAGCAAAATGAAGGAACGAAAAACTCAATTCGCTTCTCAACATTGTAGAATGTTTTATGAAGGCATCGAGAATGTCTTTGTGTTTTGTTCTCAGACTGTTACAGTCTTACAACATGAAATCCCAAAATGCAGAAAATCCCAGTTCTCATCGAGGACTTTTCCCGAATTGTTCCAGGTCCATCCCGTCACTGATTCTTCTTCTTTTGCAGAATTCCTCCGCTGAAGACCTAGAGGAACAAGCAAGAGGGAGCAAGAAATTGCGACGACATAGTCTTCCTTGAAAAGCACTTCCAGCGCGTGATTTTTTCCCCCAGAATTTGTAACCACACCGTTGAGCATTCCAATACCAGCTCATTCTTTCAACCGTGCAGCATTTTATTGTGCTACTGATAAACTCATTGAATGTACCACGATATACCTGTAAGCTGCGCTTGCCATCTGTCTGGTGTCTACGTTTGGAAAAAAAATGGAAACTCGGTCTGCAAACTTTTTTCCAACCAAGATGGGAACAGTCCCTTTCCGAGAAGAAACTTGGCATGATAAAGCAAACACATCACATGATCTCGCTAGTGAAACTGGCTATATCTCCATTCAATTAGCCTTAGAACCAGTATATGCTGTCCCTGGATGATGAACCTTTGAAAGCGACCTTTAGAAGAAGTTCCCACATGCCAATCGCAAGAAAGTCTTCTGAACTTCTCCCAGTCCCTTCTAAGCGAGAGCTAACTCATTTATTATAGGGAACTGATCCATCGCAAATAACAAAAGGGGCACTTTTCGTGACCTACATTTCAATATCTTTATTTTGGTTGGAATACTTTTTCCAAAAACACCCCAGGAGGGGCAACTCAGGGGGAAGGGGGCAGAGAGAAACTGGAATGAAATTGAAAATGGAGATGGAGTGTTCTAACCCCAGAGAAACGAAGCTTTAAATTTGCTGAAGCGCTTCTGCATTGAGAGCGGAAGAAGCATGCCAAATTTCGTTCCTGTAGATGCTCTCAGAGAGGAATACGAATACGAGGAGGTTGAGTTTTGTGTCGGGAAGGGTTGAATAAAGGGGGCAAGCGCTTTGGCACCTATTGACCTCTGAAAATATCTAGTGCAATACGTTAAATATACCAACAGCAGGGTGTGGAGAATCACTAAAATGCAATTGTCCATCACTTTGCTGAATGTTACACATCTTCTAATATATATAGACGATCGTGACTGACTGACGGACTGACTGAATGACTGACGCTAATTCTAACCATGTTCTAGAGAAGATAGAAATCTGAAAATTGGTACACATGCACCTTTTGGGATGCAGAGTGCAGAAAAAATCCGACTTAGGAGGTACATGCCCTGGGGGTACACATTTTGGGGGGAGAAGTTTTTAAAGATATATATTGTGACGGATTAGGATGGCATCGAGAGGCTTAACTGGATGTCTTGGGTTTGGTAGTGCAGTGGTAGCACACTTGACCGGCAATCAGGAGGCCCAAGGTTCAATTCCAGGCTGTTCCATGGCTTTATTTCGGCCTTTTATGCCTTCCATGTCGTGTTACTCATTCCCCCTTCATAGAAAAAACTTTGCTTTAGTAAAACGGAGAGGCATGGAAAGCTAATACGTGCCATGAACAGGCCTAACAAGACGATGAGTTCAGGAAAAATGAAAAATTAAAGATCCATGCCCTGTGGGGGCATATTTTTAGGGGCCGACGTTTTTATGTAATTTTTTTTGCCCTGGTGTATTGAGCTGGTGTGGAAAGATGAAACTTGGTACATCACTACCTATTGGGATACTGCGTGCAGAGAAATTCAGACTTTGGAAGTAAATGCCCAGGGGGCACAAATTTCAAAGGGGAGATGTTTTCAAATATTTTTTTGCATAAGTTAAACTAATGACCATGGAAAGCTGAAACTTTGCATGAATGTGACTACGGAGACAAGGAATTAAAGGAAAACGTTAAGTCGCGATACATCCCCTGGGGAATTTTTTCAAGGAACGATTTCAAAAAAAATGTTTGTATTGGCGAATTGGACAGAAATGGAAAGGTGAAACTTGGCACACGTATGAGCGACATAATATTATTGAGTTGAGGGAGTATTCAGCTTTCATGATGCCCTCATGACATAGCTTTTGGGTGGGTCGACTTTTCCAAGCATATTTCTTCACCAGCGAAAAGGGCAAACGTATAAGGTTGAAAATTTATGGGCATGTAGTTCTCGGAGGATTGATTTGGGTAAAAAAAAAAAAAGTACTTTTCGGTTAAAACAACTGAGGGCACATATATTGCAAAAGGCGTATTTTCTCGATCCAGCAAAACAGAGGGCGCTAGAAAGTTTAAACAAAGAAAAACCTAATACCTGAGTAAAGAAAATATTCAACTTTTATTATATATAGAGGATCGTGAGTAGCTGACTGACTGACATAAGTCGCTATTCGCATTCTGAGTTCAGGAAAAATTATGTTTTGGTGATACATGCCATAGGGGCACACCCTTTCGCGGAACATATTTTCAAATAGTTCTCTTTGCATCAATCAAACGGAGACACATGGAAAGCTGAAACCTGGCAAGAACGTGACTGCTGACGCACTGAGCTCAGGAAAAATGTCAGATTTCCCATATATTGGAATTTGGGGGGGGGGGGATATTTCTTGGGGATGTTATGTTTTCTAGGAATTTTTAATATCCTAGCAAATCGGGCAGAAATAGAAAAGTAGCAGCTGTCGCACACATAACGGACGTGATGTTGATTTAAGGAAAAATTCAACTTTTTTGTGCGTCTTCTCAGAGCCCAGCTTTCGGGTGGGTCTCTTTTCCAAATATATTTTTTACCGCCAGTAAAAAGGGGGAAACGCATCAGGCTGAAACTGGGTGGCGTGGAGTTCCTTGAGTCTACATTTCAGAAGAAAAAAAAAATTCGTTAAAACCCATCAGGGCACTCTTTTTTAAAGTTCCTTTTTCCTGAATTATTTTTTGATCCAACGAAACAGAGACAGAAAATTTAAACTTCCCTCAGAAGTACCTATTTGATGGCTGAGTACAGGAAAAATCCTAAGAAGAAAAAAAAATTCTTTAAAACCCATCAGGGCACTTTTTTTTAAGTCCCATTTTCCTATATTATTTTTTTATCCAACGAAGCAGAGACAGAAAATTTAAAATTCCCTCAGAAGTACCTATTTGATGGCTGAGTACAGAAAAATTCTACTTTTGAAATATGCCCCATTAGCGTAGATTATAGGAGGGAAGTATTGCAAAATATATTCTTCACCCTTACAAAAAGGGACAAATGAAAAGATTTCAAGTTAGGCACACCAGAAATAATAAAGTAATGATTTTGATAAAAATGAAGATATATATATATAGTAATGGACCTAATATTAAAGAAAGATATAGGCTAAATAGGCAGTTACCTGGCTGGGCAATAAACTGCCCCCAACCAAGGTGCACAGATGGAGCAAGAGAAGTTATTTAGTGCCGAAATTGTCTGAAACTACCCAAGGGCAACAGAAAATGCCCAACCTTTGGACCCAGAAGCGTGGGACTTAGAGATGAGAGTCCGAATTATTAGAGACAGCCTGCAGGTATGGGGCAAGGCTAAAGGAAGTTGAAAAGAGAAGGGACAGCGAAGGATCCTATCCTAGAAGTTTGTCAGGCAGCCTGCGTCGTCAGGGGGTTGAGGCCACAAGTCTGACTTACAAACCCTATCCAGAGAGTTTCTGCCGTCAGGCGCTACGGCTGTAGATGTAAATAGTAGAGGTAGTACTTTATGCCCCAGAAGCAATCCCGGCTTAAGTCCATCTGCCAGTGCCACAATTAAGCAATCGATTAGCTCGACCAGCCTCACAGCTGAAATGCATGGTAGACACGTGTCTACCATGCATTTCAGCTGTGGGGCTGGTAAATGTTGCAGAACTTCGAAGATTTACTGCACGGTCACGGGGAATCGAGTTATTCTATGCGGTATTGCATTTTCCGCGACGCACTTCGTCATACATTGCGGCGCCTTGCAACTCTTTAGCGCATAGCACGCCATTCATAATTTTACTTCAACTTGGGCTATAGTCGGAGCCGAGCTATCTTATCTATAACCGATAGATTATAATGCTATAATCCCTCTCCATTAGGCACAATACGTGTCCAAACACGTAATTTTTCTGACACGTTTCTGACAGCCTTTCATTCAATGTCGACGTAGTCGGAATACCTCGTAGATCAGAAGTTACGTTCTACATTGTGCCACAAAATTCACTCTAGTCCACTGCAGCAGCGTGAATAGTGTAAATAACCTGTTGCTATCAGCACGAACGAATGAGTACGAATATTTTTTGAACCAAGAAAATGTACATCACGATTTTCCTCAAGTTACAGCAAGTTCAATACAGTCATCCCCCGACTTGCGTCGTCTCGACTTACGTCGTTCCGCACTTGGATAGTTTGCCCCCAGACCCAATATATTAAGCCAAGCGCACAATTCCTACCTACGTTGTATTACGTTGCCCTTACGTCGTCCATGAATTGGTATCTCAAGTGCGAGTAGTCGGCAACACGGTACTGTCTCGACTAACGTCGCCAGTCTCGGAACCAATTACGACGTAACTTCGGGGGATGACTGTACATAGACTTTGTAGTCCGTTTCTCTTCCAGAGGCCGTGACATCATGGCACTTAAATAATTATGGTCTTACTGGCGAAAGGTGAGTTTTTTAAATTTCAATTTAAATTAAAGGATTAAAAGATTGAGTCCGGCATCAGCTTTATACTCGTACCTTTGCTTTTATAGGAAAATCTTATTAGACGTGCAGCATCTGTATCACAAAGCCCAGGGTTCTGTTCTTAATACAGGGTGTCTACAAATTATATTTCCCATTGGCGAGTCTTATTGCTTTGGAAAGAATAATCATAGAATGGTGAAACAAAAAACCAAAATACGTAGAAGCACTTCAAATTTTGTGCCGCAAGGATACCAAGTTCACATTCATTCCGCTGGTGGCACAGGAGTCACGTAAACGAAAATGGCGGATTTCACGGGAGCTGAGAAAGCAGTGCATTTTTTGGTTTGAAATAATACGTTGTTACTCAAGTGAAATGTCATCTCCGTGCAAACTACGGGAAGGAACCCCATCAAGACCATCCTTTCATGCTTGGCACAAACAGTTCGCTGAAACTGGGTGTCTGTTACTATAAAGGTGGCGGGAAACTAAGAATCAACAAAGACACTGTTGAGGGTACGGGCTGCTTTTCACATCAGTTCGCGTAAATTTCCCCCCCCCCCCTCGTGCAAGCAAAGAACTTGTTACCTAACACAAGTCAGGAAAATTTTGCCGAATAGGCATATGTTGCGGCCATACAAGTTTCAGTTGCTGCGGTTCGACTTCCCTGTTCGTTGTCCCTGTTTCAACGAACTGTTTATGCCTTGCATGAATGGATGGTCTTCCCTTCCCGTCCTTAGTACGGAAACGACATTTCACTTGAGTAACAGAACATGTTTCTTGCGTGTGCTTCTTGAGAATCTGTTTTCTGCCTCTTTTATATTGACTGGCAATCCTTAATTTTTTTCATAAATTTCTTGCAATTTTATTCTGCTAATACTTGCGGAGGGACCCAAAACATACATTTTCCTCACGAAATTATCGGGTGGCACAAGAAAAAACGCATCCAATTGAACGCCTTCGGAAACCAAACTGTGGAAATTCCAGATTCGTAATTCTTTGTATCACAGTGGAAGCAACAAAATTTATTTACTGAAAGTTTCAAGATAACTTTTCAAGATCGTCCTGATAAAAAGCCACAGTCACTCATCAAAGTGAAGTCATGAAATTTAACTCTTTTCGCGCATGAAGTGGACGCTGTTTCAGCACTGCTCAAAAGATTTATTTCCTTTGACGCCATACTCACCATTTATGCAGAGTCATCATCATAGTATTCTTGATGGCGTAATGCCTTTAAGCCTCAGATGAGAAGGTAAAGCCTAAATTGGATGTGTTTAGAGTGTAAGGACTGGAGAGAAAGAGGGAAGAAAATAGTGAGAGTCTTTTTAAATGAAACTACTGGAACTACTGGAGAGGGAACAGAGGTTCCCTCTCCAGACTTAAAAAAAAGATTACTCTGTAATGCAGTAACTTTTCCTTTGGAAGATACGACATGATGACACTGCACAGTGAAGAACATTGCAATAAGAATTCAGACGTAAGAAGCTCGCTATTTGACGACAAATGCGAGACATCTGTAGAGCACCGCTGAAACTGCTGCCTCCCGATACGAGGAAAAGCGGGATTTTCTTGTCGAGGATTGAACTACTGTTTACTCTTCGCCCAAAAAACCTTAAGCAGTGGCGTATTTTGGCTGAGGGGTCGGGGGGGGCAGGGCAACAGCACGGGGGCGCCATACCCTACCCTAGCGATATCAGGTGGGGAAATTACATTACCTCCAAGGGGGCGCCAAGCCCTGTCCCAGGGGCGCCAGGGGAGGCGGCTGCCCCCCCGTAAAATACGCCACTGACCACAAGACTTCACAACTTTCGAGGAAAATGTTTTTGTGCGTTTTCAGTGCTAAAAAAAATCGCAAATCCAGCATTTCTACAGTAAGTAGTTCGAGTAGTATTACGTCTCGAACAAGACGCATTCTTTTATGCGCCGCCTGATTTATTTACTTACAGTTTTAGAGCAACTGAAGCAAGAGTTTCAGCACTAGCAAGAAACAGGAGCTTGGATCTTCATGATTCTAGGTAAATGAAAGAAGATGATAACGATTCAAGTATTCATTCTTGACTAGTGACAAGAGTATGAAGGTTCCCCACAAATAATAACATGAGAGACAAGATTCCAGATGACTTTCACCAGCCATGAAGGTAGTAATACTCATCATCTTCAGAATTATAGGGATAATCATCATCTGACCAGTTGTAATTTTCATCCAACCAGTCATCGTAAGAGTCAGAGTTGGGATCCGAATCAACTTCTTCCATGCTTCCCATTGTTCCAAAAGAAGTGGATGCAACATCCAGTTGTTGAATTGGCCAAGGGGCTTCTCCAAATTCTTGGCTGCCACTTTCTGCTTGTACTTCACATGCCATGGCCCCTTCATCCTCATCCTCATGAGAGATAACATCAAAATGAAACGGGCTCAAAAGCAGTTCCAAACACAATAGCATGCAATTTCATGCAAACTGCACCAGCGGTAAATTATGACAAAATCCTGCTGATTCAGATACAGAGACTCTGGAATTTCCTAATGGCACTAAATCATCAGGATGCGTTTCAGAAACAGAATCTGTAGTGCCCTCATTACTAAAATGATCATTACAAGGGTGTATCACATTGACACAAATACAGGATAACCAATGAATTGGTTTAGTAACTCAGAGACGTGAAACTTGGCATCTATGGGTTGTACAACATTGAATCTTGGTACTGCAGTTCACTGCACCACGAAGGGAGGATTATGGAAGTAGCATAATCATCTATAATGAACACCACCCACACGTTGGAATCGCTGCCAAGAGTTTTTGATGTCAATAAAGAAAATGGTATACATTTTGAATATTTACTACACTAGTACCTTTTCCAATTTACGTGAGTCCAACCATAATCTTTCTCCCATGGGTGGAACAAACAGCTTCAAAAAATTTTTCCAAGACATAGATGCTGAGATACATGTTCCTGAGTAGCAAACTAATGTATGGGTCACCTGTACATGGTACAAGAATTTCATGTCACTGCTGGACAGTTTTTCGTATTACAGTCGTCCACATTAAGAATGTTGAGACTAAGCTTCAATCGAGAAAAGCAAGAAGTTGATACTTGAATATTTCGTGAAGGTACTTTTAGGAAACATGCAACATGCAAGTTTGTGGTACAAACTGTTGTGAATAGGGGTGTGTCGATGGTGATCTTGGGCCAACAGCCAGTTATGATCTCACACACGTCGGCCGGTGCCGACTGTGGCAAATAGATGGGGGGAAATTATTTATGGAAACATGCTGGAAACAAATTATCGTCCGACTTTCTTGATTGTTATCATATTTTTTCACGACAGCTTCTGAGACATACGATGCTGAATCTCTTCATAGTTTCTTTGCGTGGAGAGGGAAGCAGGAAGGCAGGAAGCAAGCGTGGCGGTCCCTGCTGCTGAGAATGACTGAATCATGCATTTGTAGGAGAGATGTTCAATAAACGATGACAGCGACTCAAAAACTTCATTTTTAACAATTGGAATTTAAATTCAGAGTCCTTCAACGTCCTGTCAAGATTTCTAACATTTGCTTGCACTCTTAATGCACTCTTAATTTTTTTCAGGTCTCAGAAAATCATCTCACTCCCAGAACAGTAGTGTCTCTAGCACTCTAGCAGAGTGGGTTTTGAGATTTTTTCAGCAAAGATCAAAACTATCCAATAACCATTCATGACGAAATGTCATTCATCTTTAAATTTAACAATGAACATCTTGGAGATCCATGCATATGTAATTTGGGCTCTTGGGCATGTCAAGTTGAGCGGAGAAGAAATACTCCAACAAAAGAAGCCTGAAAATGCAAGGTTATAAAAGCTATCATTGGGAGTGATCTAGAGAACACAGCAGTCAGAAAATGGCGATTCCCATGATAACCTCCATGTTGAAAGAGAATTTAAATCAGGAAGCAATTGAATTCCTTTGTCAAGTCTGGACATATCACCAAGAGAAAAAAAGGAATTTGATAACAAAGACTCCTTAGTCCCTGAGCTTACCTGATACGATAGTCCTTTTTCACCTTTGTCCTCTTCTCTTTTTTTGCCATCCTGTTTCTTCCTTTTTTGCTCTGATTTATACTTCCCAACAACCTTTTCAGTAGAAAAACTTCTGACTCCAGCCCTAGGTAACGGTTCAAGATCAGAGAGATCTTGTGGGAATCTCACTGCAATTTCTTTGAGTTCGTTGGCTGACAGTCTGGATGCTGAATTACTATGACTCTTGGCAGGAGGGGTGCGGATGCGACTCAAGACTGAAGGCAGCTTGGAGCGATAGTATAATGCCAGGCCTTCTAGGGCATCTTTGCTGCATTCTTCTAAGGACCTTCACAGGAGAGAAAGGAAGCAATGGCATAGGTGAATGACCCCACCTCCATAGCATGAATTCATGTAAGGGGCATGGGAGGGACCTCAAGTCAAGGAAAGAGGCAAGATTGAGGCAGATGAATTCAGTGACTGCATCCTTCAGCTTTGGTGCATTGCCCATGAAAGCCAGGTCCAGGATATAGGGGGCATTCCTCAGGGTCATAATATTCACCAAGCGCACTTCACACTTTCTCTGCATCAGGATTCCAATAATTAATATGCTGTGTAAATCAAGCACTGTAGGAAAAAGTTAAAAATTAAATTTAAAAAAATGCTTGAGGCAAAAATTTTCATGCTTACTCTCCTGCTCAATTGTAGAAGTGAGACTAGGCATTCTCCCGTGGGCTAACCACAATAAAGTTGGAATCATCAACAAAGCCTAGAATAACCCTAAATTTGTCAAATGCCAGTACTTACTGTCTTGTTCAATATAGGTCAATCAGATTTAATCAGGTGCAGTAACAATCAGTCAAAATAAATTTCACGTCAGTATATTAAAAAAGTATTCGGTCAAATTCAATCTATTAAAATTTTTTAAATGGTAAAAGTGAACTTAAAAGTATGTTAAAATCTGGCATGTGGGAGAAGTGGATGCAGATATATTAAAAGTGGCACCTATGTTCCCTACTGTGGGTTGTTGAATACCCGTGAATATTTCTGAAATTGTGATCTTGGGCAATGAGAACGTCCTTGGGAATTTCTACCCAATGGCCACAGCTCCAAGAAGCATGCTATAAATTAACTATATACTACGCAAAATAACTTATAATAGCTATCACTACACAATAATTGGCAAGTGGAGTCAAGGGACATGAAAGATTTCTATTTAAAAAAAAGGTTTGGTTCAGCTGTCGTTCACAAGCAAGTAGAAACCGACCGATATACCGGTGACCAATATGCCGGTTTCCGATATTGGAATAGCGGTTAGTTTTCACACTGACTCCATCAATGCTGCCGATTTATACTGATATTCAAAAGAAGCTACACAGGCGATCTAGTTCTATAAAGTATTACCACAACCAGCTTTTCTATTACCCCATGGAAATCCGGGTACGCATAAGTAGGGGGAAATGTCTGCCATCCCTTCCATTCACCTTTACTGAAGTAAAGGTGAATGGAAGGGACTCCAGAGCACAGGGAGTGCACAAGGAAGGCCTATGGGCGCAACATCACCTAGGAGGACGGTGTGTTGAAGATGTACAATGCCCAATGTATGCAGATATCCTGTAATTTGGTTGTGGCTAGGGAGTTCTTAGGTGAACCATGCGCATCTGTCCCAAATGAATGAATACTCAAGTGGCGAAAGGCCATGCAGACATTGATGAAATTGTGAAGTTGCTCTCTATAAAGGAACTTTTGAAATGAAGCTCTGTTGATGAGCAAATCAAGACAATTGTTTCCTTCACATATAATGCAGAAAAATCGGCCAATATCGTATCAGCTGTCAGCCCCAAATATAAGTGAATATTGATATCGGAATATTCGGTCGATCTCTACCCTGCGTCTCAAAAAAGAGGGGGCACTATTTTTATTACTGTTATCTCCATCCTATTTTCACATGTGCCTCATTCACTAAATCTCACATGAATAATAAAGATTTCTGCCAACTTTAAGAAAATCTTAACCAGGGATTGGTTCGAAGTGTAATAACTTTTTAAAATTAAAGTACAGTAAAACCTCGCTAGTCCGGACTAATTGGGAGGGGGGGGGGGTCCTGATTAGCCGAAAGTACGGACAGTCCGAAATATATATTTAAAAAAAGAAGTCCGGACCAGCGAGGTTTCACTGTATCAACAATTTCAACAATCTGCCCCTGCATCTCTCAAGGCCATTGCTCTCCCAAGACCAAAGAGATTTGTTTTTGATAATTCAACCGTGTGTTAACAGTTACTTTCGGTTCAAGTTGCGTTTTTTTATTTACATTATCATCATTTTTTGTAGGCCTACGGCCTAACTCTTACCCGTTGTTGTCTGTTATGAATCGCAGTATTCAAAATTACGAAGAACATAATGGGATTCAATGAAGAGGACAAGCACCTGATCGAAGGCTTGTGAGAGATAATGCGGTACAACTCTCGCTAGTTAATGAAGAAATTCCTTTAAGAAAAAAGGTCACGTCATGATCGTGTAAGTTGCTGAAAAAAATGTATGTAATGTAACTGTATCAATTGGTAGAAAACATGTACGAGGGCCACTCAATAAGTTATCTACCTGAATATGAAAGGGATGAGCAACAGGCCTGTGCCTGCTGTGACATGTCTCGACAGGTCTCGTGAGTGCCCCACCACTATACCAGCTCAGTGGCTCAAGTCCGTTCAAAGTGGTAGCGCATTAGATTTCTTTTCCCGAGTCTGTGTCATGGATTTGACGAAAGTTGAACATCGTTCAGTGATNACTGCTGCTTGAGTTCATGCCAGACGAGTGTACAATCACTGGCGATTTCTATGCTACCACCATGAAAAATTTACATGATGCCATCAAGGAAAAACGCAGAGGAAAGTTGTCAAGGGGGGTCCTTCTTCTCCATGACAACGCGCCCGTCCACAAATCATGGAAAGTTCAGGCAGCAGTGAGGGAGTGTGGCTTTCAGGAGCTCAACCATCCTCCCTACAGCCCGGATCTGGCTCCTATTGACTATTTTCTGTTCAGACACTTGAAAAAATTTTTGCGGGGAAAAAGATTTTCATGCAATGAAGAGCTGAAAGTTGCCGTTTCTGATTGGTTTGATGGACAAGAAGTGGACTTCTATTCCCAGGGAATAAAATCCTTGGAATCAAAGTGGAATAAGTGTGTTGAGTTAAGTGGTGACTACATTGAAAAATAAAGTGTTATTTTTCCCCTCGGATGTTTCTTTCTTATTCAGGTAGATAACTTATTGAGTGACCCTCGTAAGAGGCAGGCCGAATAGAACCCTAACAGCAGAAAATATCGAGACTAACGAAGAACTAGTCCTCAGTCGTGAAGGAATCAAACTTAAACTCATCAAATGAACATAGCAATAGGAATTTATAAAAACCTATATCATCTATGAGCCAACCTATCGCCTGCGCTGCCACTTTGGAGCGCGCCGAAGTGACGCATCTGGCAAGCAGAGAGTGGAATGCTGCTTCACTCTGATTTTTCGATACTTCAACTTTGAAGTTATTGCGTTTGAAGCACTGGGTGAAATTCTTTTACATGTGACAGGATTTTTCTTATTCACCTGAAAAGGTATGTGCAGAAGAGCATGAGCCTAGCACGATATCGGATGGAGATACTCGGTAAAATGAATTGTTCCCCCCTTTTTTGAGACGGTGTAGAAGTAGTGTCAACAGGTCACTTCGACTTGCAACGTAAGTGCAAACATGCAGACTTAATTCCAAGAGCATTGAAAAACAATTTGTAATGGATTCTCTTAATAAAATAATTTAAAGTTGGCTATTTTACATGATAATGCAGACCAATTCATGACAGGATTGATGGCATCAATCCTGTCAGTGTTTTCATTATCGTGTAAAATTATCCAGCTTTACCTAACTTTGCTGAATTAAATTATTAAAAATGATTGATTTAAATTCTCCTGGAATTATGCTTACTACGTAAAGGTCATTCCAATGTAGATAACCACACCAAAGCTGGGATGAATGGCATTCACAAGTGAAACTGCAAGTTGATATGCAGGAGTACACATCACCACTTTCACCGTTTTTTTTATGTAAAGCTTCTTCACAGGTAAATGGTTCTGCTGCTTTGTATATGCCATCCTTCTCTACTACATCAATGTAGTAATGCTTCCTTTTACTTTCTTCAAAGCTATCTGTTACATTGATAATCCTCAGATCATTAATTTTTTACTTGAGTAATACTTTGGAAAAATGAGTCTACCATCCTGAACACCAGCAAGAGGTATGCATTATGCAAATAGAGATAAAAAGCAGATAAAGAAACTGATGACTTAGTATGGACTGTGCTTAAATTATGCATTATATACCTATGGTTGCATGGAAAGTAGCCATCAAGAGAATATTGATGGCTCATGATGATGCCTGAACATTGGCTTCTGCTTCCTGCAATTGGCTCATTTAGGTGAAACTGTCAATTATGTTCCCTTTAGTAAACATAGCCTACATATTCTGACAAATGGACAAGGATGCAAATCTTTCTTTCTCAAGCTTGCCTTGAGATGATCCAGGAGGAGTTGATCACCAGCAAGAAGTACTTGTGCAAGGAATGTGCAATCATTTGCCTTAGAGATGCAAGAACAGGAATCTTGATACAGATAGTCAAGGATGACCTCAAGGATATCAGCTGCAATTGCAACAGGAACTTCCTTTGTCCCTTGGCCCTCAAGCCAGTGTGAGGCAAACAAAAGGCGGAAGTACTCTGATCGGGCCATGAGGATGCACTTGTGACAGGGAAACTCTTTTCCTTCTTGACTCACCAGGGTTACATCTACTAGGTTGGACCAGGAACCAAGGGTAAACCACTCTTCTCTTGATGGTGCCAATGGGATTCCTAAGGCAAAAATAATTTTAAATCTGGGGCACCTTAACATATATTGTTCAGCAATTGATCCACAATTGTGCAACATACGAGGACCCAGCTGTACCAAATGACCTCCAGACCACCACCAGGATTCCAGGTACTTCATCAATGCCTCAAGATTCAGTTGCTCTGCAGCTTCCTTGGCAAATGGCAAGGGATTCATTGACCTGGTCAAACATTGTTGATAATGAGTCATCACCACTTTTTCCACAAATTTCTTTGTGTCAGATGCTTACGTGGAAGACCATGAAGAAAGGAAAGAGCAATTCCCTGTGTAGATGTAGTGAAGAATATGGGGGAAAATCTGAAAACTGATCCCATCCAGAGTGATTATGGCACCTGTGTCAGTTTCAGAGAGATTCCGGAAATATTCACACCGCTCTTTAAGGATCAGACAATGTGCTGCAAGTCTTTCACCTTCCACCTATGTATGCCAAGGGGCTGCCTTGTTTGCTAATTAAAAACATATACAAGATAGATATAATGATGATATCTCACTAGCAGTGTGATGTCTGGAGCCAAGTCAGCAGCATTTTTCAGAAGATCTTCCATGTCTCTTCTCATTGTACTAGGAGAGAACAAATGTTCCTCATCATCAAGCAGACATGATCTCATGATGGATCTTTTTGGGTGTTCCTAGGAAAAATTTACAACCAGGTAAACAAGCTGGGCAGGCATTCAGCTGGTTAACCTTAATATTGGGTATTCTAAAGGCAGGGCATTCTCTACCTGAAGAAGGGTGAAATTGCTGCCATTGGAATCACAGAAGATTCTAAATCCCCTTTGGACAAAAGGGACACGAGACAAGTGGAGGATCTCCAATGTGACTTCCTTTTGATCCAATTTTGATCTCTTCTTGTACTTCCTTCTCTTCTTCATCTTTTTCGATGGTGTGTGAGGGCTCTCTAGAGTATAAAGAATGGCAGGCTTTGAAATAATTGCTCAAATATTTAGTCATTGTCATCGCTCAGATCCTCACATAATGGTACTCACTATTCATATCCCAGGATGCTACATATGCCTCACCCTGTCTGGTGACAAGAAATACAGATTGCTGGCTGAGAGCCATGTCCACAATAAAGACATCTTTTCTCACATTCAAGGAGCACCTATTCAAAGGGTTAAAAGTGAAATGTACATGGTCAGTAAAATATTGCCTGATCTGATTCCAGGATGGAATATTCTGAGTACAATAATGAATTCAAAATTAGGATTCTTCCCTATATTTTATCATTAAGACCTCTGAAAAGCCATTCTTTGCAAATAAGGAAGAAAATAATACCATATGGTCCTTTAGGAGATGGTGATGCATGGGAGAATTTCACAAAAATTTTAAATGAATGAGTGGAGACTAACTTTTTGGGAGGTCAAGTAAGCATAACCAAATTTTCATATTCTCTGCCCTGCTCCTCACAAAACTTGCATAGAAAGGATGGGTATCAACAAAAATAGCATTCTTGTCAATGGATAAACCAAAAGATGAGCCTGCACAAAACAGTGCAGAAAGGTAACCCAAAATTTTCAGGAGGACCCATCAGACACTATCTATGTATGAGCTAGGTAATCAGGGTTAATCACATAAAAAATCATTAACAAAGTATATTGGGAAAAGCACATGAGGTATCACATTTAAGGTTCTATTTGCAAATGACATACAAGGGTAATTTCCAACATGTTTTGGTAATGTGTTCAGGATGTACAGAGGTGAATCTGTGAAGAAAATGAAGAATATCACGTGCATAGGAGCAACACATAAATAGCAATTGGACTTCAATTGCTACAATCACTGCCTGACTATAGTCAGGCAGTGAGCTGTATGATAGCAGTAGCCAGACTCATCTGCACCCAGGAACAAGTGTGCTGTCCTTTTCTTTCATAAGGGCACCACCTCCCAACTGTCAAACGTAACACAAGTATCAGGAATGAGTTGTCATCTGGTTGTTGAGCATATAGGTCAGAGTCTGTGGAAGTCAAACTGCAGCTTTCACAATACCATCCAGGCAACCTATGGCTCTGGAGTAGCATTCATGATGTCAGGAGTCAGACCTTAGCTATGTTCATTTGTTCATTCTGGTGTACTCCATCCAGGAATAAAAATAAGAAATCTACATTAACTCCAAGTGCAGAAAAACTGGTGTTTATATATGAGGAGAGCATGTAAAAGTGGGTGAAAACATATGTGGGTCATTCCATGCTATATTGACCAGAGTGTGAGCTCAACCATCTTGGATTTAGACGAAAATCGGCATACACGTAGAGGAATCAATTTAACACCAGTGCGCCTCACTGAATGGGAAAATCAATAGGCCAGCATTTCCGTGGTGGTCAACATGTTAAAGAATCTAACTTCACCCAATTTTTGTTATCTCTCACACAGATCTCCAGATATATGAAAGGGCATGTCTTTTTTGCTAGCAGCTCTGCTAGCTCTGCTGAGGCCTCCAGCATCTGATGATGTCATTTTAAGGCTTACCTCCTCAGCATTCTTGTAGTTTGCTATGTTCTGCTGGCAGCTGCTTGGCCAATTGTGACATCATTCAATGATGTGGTTGTGCATAGCCAGAGCTTCTTTTTCACCAGCAGTTGCTTGCAGCTGGAGAAAAAGAAATGCCCCATTTTAATGCAACCTATTTCTTAATCCTGGCAACCACATTGGTTGGAATTGAAAAACTGTTTCTGCAATAACATCTCTAGCTAAGATACAAACTTCATTCTGATGTCATTTTAATGTGAAACTGCAGCCTTTAATTTGATTCTAGATACAATTCTTCAAACCTGAAAGAAGAAGTTCCACTTAAAGTTCCACTTAACCAAACAGTTTGATCAAGTCCAGTGGCCAATATCTACACTTGCCATCTTGGGAATTCACAGTTCCAATACTTCATTCAAAAGTATGCCATTTCTAACGACAGCATATTTGAGATTGGCACTTGATGGCTTGATGAGATATGGAAGTTTGACTGCAGCAGTAGTGCCAAAATTCAACCCTCCCAGAATGCTGTGCATAGGAATCATGAGAATGTATCCCCATGGCATGCCATGCTATAAGTGAACATTTTGATTTTTTATTATATGCATTTTAATCATTTTCTTAGCATGCAAAATAGAAAAATATTGCACAAAATTTCAATAAAATACTTTGCATTTTATTGTATTTATATAATTATATATTTATTTTAGCTAAATAATATATTTAAATTAACTTGCAACTGTACTAACATGCATATTTTTTCATTTTTAATGCAAGGAAAATAATACAAATGCTTAAATTAAAAATCGGCAAGTTTCACACAGAGTGGCATAACATTGAGTTACATTCCCACGATTCCCAGGTGCAGGTATCTGTGGACTGTTGTTGCCATCAAATAGTTATACTTCATGAAGCAATTGAGTGCCAATCTTGAATTTGGTATAGTTCGAAATGGCATACCATGCACTATTGAATGAAATATTGGAATGTGACCTATTCTAAAATAAGTCACATTGAAATGCATATATTTGGAGTTCTGCATTAGAAAAGAAAAATAGGTTGATATTAGATTCTTTCACCCTTTTGGCGTCCAGCCCAAATGCACTAGAACTCCCCAGTGTCCAAATGCTTTGAGAAAATTAGCCGCAAGTCCTAACAGCATTAAAACCTCTTTAGAACTTGAACAATCAAAGATGAACAGACAAAACTCTCATGGAAGACTGCAATTTAGCTAGGTGATATGTTGAGTGATAAGGAGTGCCATTTTTGGATATTTTCGGATTTGGTGCGCTGTTATCAAGTACAAACTCAGAATTTTGGAGGCATCTCTTAGTACAGCAACTCCCAAACTTTTGACCTCTGCATACCTCTTGCCTCCAGGGGGCATAAGCAGCATACTATCAGATCTCCCACATATGTGAATATCACAGAGTACATAGGATTAACACTACATTGCACAAATTTGTAAAAATAAGTAAGTTTGGAAACCTTTCGCATACCTCCATTGGTATTCATACCACGTATGGGAACTGTTGGTCTAGCATGTTAATTGCTTTGAGCACTTCTTGAGGGATTCTGCCAATCAACATAATTCATTGCTCTCACAGTCAGTGGAATGATCACTAACAACAGCAAACTGTTCTCCAGCAACATTACTGACACTCTCACTATGTGACAAATTAGAAAATAAACCAATCTCAAACATTTCTTGAATTTCCTCACTCTTGGGATGCCATGCTTGTCATTTCCAAGCATGACAAAAATAAACTCTATGAAAATATTAGGGAACAAATAACACCTAACCACATCCTAAAGCATAGGCTGCTCAAAAACGAAAAGTTTTCCATCAACAGATAACACAGTTCAGCAAGAAAATTTTTTTTTTTTTTTTTTTCCAAGCGCAATGCTAGGACAAGAACATATTTAGGATAATGCAAGCAAGCAGGCAGCTGAATGACAAGTACATACGTGGGATGATGCCAAAAGGGTTAAATTGACTACTCTACGTGTATGCTGATTTTAGTTCAAATCTGAGATGGTCAAATTCATGCTCTGGTCAATTTGACATGGAATGACCCCCACACCATCAATACATAGTTTTCTGTTAACTTTCATAGAAGCAGAAATTTTACATTTCTTGACTAGCCTGTCATTTATTACAATTGTTGCATCATGATCAGTCCCATTGTCATGCTTTATGCTTAAATTTAAAACTGCTTATTATCTTTATTATTGTACTGTATTACAGCATAAGTCAACTTCCAAGATTCTCAAAAGAGCTAGAAGAGAGCTAAAAACTCAATAAAGTGACATTTACCAGCCATCCAAAGTGCTAAGTCTTTGGCCTAAGGCCTGACAGAAGAATGCTGAACTACCTAACCATGTGAACATGCTACAGCTATTGCCTTCGTGCACTCATTAAATGTGAGCTTAAATATAGCCTGCATTTACAAGAGATTTTACAGTGAGTGCGAGTTTACCCATAGGCCATCAGAATAACAAATTCAAATTGAGGACAGGTGTAACTCAATGGAGGTGGATATAAGATTTTCTAATTTTGGACAACTTCCTTCAACACCTGGAAATCATGCCTAATGTAGGTGAATTTCTGACTTAACATTATTGTACCAACACGAAATATGTTGTCACTCAGCCTATTAACTCACCAGAATATGGTAAGATTCAACATGTAATGAGCAGTCTTCATGTGATAGGGCAATACATTAGTGCATTCAGTCCTTATATGAAGACAAATTTAGATGAAGAACATCTGGGTGGCTAAAATTAGTCAGAATAAGCTGCATACATTTCTTACATTTTCAAATTATATACTCAAAAACGAAATGCACCCAGGTAACACAGAACATTGAATCAACATGGATTGGATGTGGATTGAATGTGCGAATGTTGAAGGTTGAAGGTGAACATTGTTTCAATGTTGATACAATGTCACTGCATCACATTGTGGATTCCAATTGGGGAATATTCTGATTATATTTATTAGATGTGGCATAATTGTTAACCCCTCTTAAAATGATAAAGGGTGGGACCTAAGTTGCATGCCGTTCATTTGAATAATGATTTTTTTTTTAATTCGGAAACAAATACATAAACCATTTCCAATTATCCTATGGTCATCGCGGAGACGTCTTGCATCCTCTTATGGACGTTATGTTACTAGGGTAGTGTAGTCTAGGCGCGATCATAATGAAGTACTAAGAGCGCTCACTAGATGGTATCCATTCAGATGGATACCATCTAGTGATCCCCGTAGCCTCCTAATGCAATTACGGATCTGTCACCTTCCATTAAAGCGTTTTCTTCCCACTTTCCTCTTATTATTACGTAATTAATGAATACATATATCAGAGAAATGTGGAATTATGATGTTCTGATTGCAGAATCTGGTTCTGCAACAAATTAAATGTCCAGGTTTAGTGTGAGCGCATAGAAGTCTAGGCGATTGGAGACGTGTAGAGCACACACAAGAAAAACCTGAAGTGATCCATTCACAAATTTTCTTAGAGAGAAGCTGAGAGAATTTATCCTCGTTTTGCAAACCAGTTAGGCATACAAGACTTTGGTGCTGTTTGCAGAAGTAAAGAGGACCTATCCTCTCAAACTTCTCAGTACTCTGTGGGTATTGACCTATAGATACTGAAGAGGGTTTACCCTCTTTTGTATATGAAGTTCATCATCCACAGGTCATGCGATTCATTTTGATGAATTTACCTCTGCTTTATCCATGGAGAAACTCAATTAAGAGGGACTCATTGAGGAATGTTGAATAAATGTTGCCATCAATATTGTTTCAACATTAACAAGGAATGTTGAAGAGGGTTTATCCTCTTTTGTATATGAAGTTCATCATCCACAGGTCATGCGATTCATACTGATGAATTTACCTCTGCTTTATCCATGGAGAAACCCAATCACGAGGGACTCATTGAGGAATGTTGAATAAATGTTGCCATCAATATTGATTCAACATTAACAAGGAATGTTGAAACAATGTTGACAAAAATAACATCTTCACATTGAATCAATGTGGCACCTCAATGTTGTTTCAACATTATAAATGTTGCCATGAAACATTGTTTCAATGTTGTTTCCACATGGATGTGTTACCTGGGCATAGCTGAAATATGATTAAGTTGTAAATAAAGTTCAATGATGTTACCACATGTAGCCATTAATTCAAGCAGGGTAGTGCGAACTTAAGTGCCTGACACCATTTTGCTCTTCAATATGCATGATCTGTAGCCACTCATCCATGAATTGATGTTTTACAGAATAGTCCAGTACAATGCAAGTGGAAGCCATTTTTCAAAGAAACCCTGTGCAATGCCACATGATGCTGTTTTCAATAAAAGGGCCAGGGTCCTGTCAATAGGTAGGAAGTCATCGTAATGCAGCTAAGCCATCAAGGATGGCAAGATTCTCAAAGGCAGATTGCAATATTGGGAGATTGGAAGCTGGTGAATCCCAGTCATCAGTTGCAATACATTTTAACTTGCACCAGAGTATTGCCTCAAAGTCATGGGACTGGTACAACCAGGTTCAACAGGTGACCATCCAAGCTCAAGCGGACCATGCATCACCAGTCCTGCAGAAGATCAGTACATTCAACACAGACATTTGTGGGATTGGTTTGCTACAGAAACCTAAACAGCACCAGCAGCACCAGGAGGGAAGACAATGATAGCTCAAACCATCCACAATTGCTTACAAGAAGAAGGTTTGAGAACATGACCACTTCAAAGGTTTGTTCTGCAGCCCAGAACATGCAACTTTGTTTACAGCAGTGCCACAGACACAGGGTATCTATATACATAATGATTGGTGGATGTCTGTATGACCGGACTTTGTCCAGTGAACTCCTCTTAGGTTTCTCAGCCGATTTCCAACATCAATACCTCATTCAATTTGTAATTTCCTGCAGAAGGTCCAACTCATTTTAGATTTTTTTATTTTTAGAGTTGACCTTTGACCTGACCCAATGACCTTTTGTATTAATTTGGATGCATTTCTAGCCTGACACACCATTCGAAAGCCCTTGAAAACCTGTTACAACTCCTTTTCACATTGCGAAAATATTGACATTTGATCCTGCTGCGGTCAAACTGATATGAAAATGCACTGGCACCATCTCTGTATGGATTAAATAACTACATTGAGATGCTTGGCCTAGACCTATTTCAGGGACCCATTGTAGGCCTGGATGATTTTCACATTTCCGCCCATCAGATGGCCAGCGTAGTGGCCACAGGCCACTAGTAGCTTTAAATGCATTGGAGAACAGTCATATTCAGTGATGTTTTCCAGTTTCTTCTGAGACATACTACTAGGACAATGCACTGTGACTGTGCATTTCTTTCTTGAATAAGTATATATCATACTTTAATTTTAAAAAGTGCCCCCCCTAACTATTGCAAGAACTTATTCTTCAGGCACTGGATTATCTGCATGCCATTGACAACATTTATGTTTATCTGGAGGCAAATAACATTGAAAGGTCCTACAATACTTTTACTGATCTCAGAACTTGAAGTAGTCCTTGAATGAGACTCCTATGCCTTGGTGGTGCAATCAGTCCCAAATATAATGCAAAAAATAAAAATACTGTATATCTGTCCTCAAATGCAGATGGCATGCACAAGATGGTTAACAGTGCAAGAGTTACTTGATGTCAGCAAGACTCTTCATCCCTGAAAAAAAGGTCCATAAACAGAATATACCAGACAGGAAATTCTCAAATCCCTTACGATTATGAAAAGAAAGATATGAAACAAATAACGAAAATCCCATCTGATACATAACTTCCAAAGGCCATAACAGCTGGGAGATAAGGAGAATGCAAGCAGAGCCTGACTTGGTCAAAGTGGATCCAGAGCCTCTCCAGATGAAGATACAGCCCTCTCTGTCCAGCACAAAGACTGTTACCTCCTTAGCACCTCCTCCTGTGACACATATTCTTGTAAAATGTGCATGCCTGTAATTCAAGATGCACTTTTTAATTCTCTGTAGGACAAGGATAAAAGGAGCAGGTTAAAGTGCACTTGAGGGTGCTAGATTCAAATTTGTAAGCTCACTGGCCAAATGGTCGCAAATTGGATGCCAACTTTTGGCACTGATAATTATTGAGAAGAAGAATGATGCAACCAGAATGATCTGTAGCCAAAACAACTGTGGCTCCTTCACTTGCAGCTACATTTTCAATCCCATCAATTGATGGAAGACACATCACCTGTAGTAATGAAAACATGAAATCTCATAAGATCTCTAAAAAAAATGTAACATTCAAAGTTCATATGTCATGTTAATGAAGTTGAAGCTTACCTGTGTGGGTGCAGTGATCATATCCTCACCTTCCACATGACCCAACTGTCCTGCATTCTTACCAAATGTGAAGATTTCAGTAGAAGAGTAGAATATGGAGTGGAATGGACCACAAGCAATTCCTTTGATTGGTCCATGCAATTGACGAAGTCGTAGCATTTTTGGAATTAAGAGGCGATGGTTGTGTCCTAAAGAATGTCCAAGCTGTCCATAACTATTGCTTCCACAACTCAAAACCTGCAAACAATGTTAGCTATGCACTGTCATTTGTAAATGTAAATAGTACAATAAGCAAAATAGCAGGACTTACAGTGTTACCTTGCGTGAGGAAGAGGGAATGATCAGAGCCAGTGGCAACTGAAATGCATTTATAAGTTGTCCCAAAGCAAGTTATTGGTTTTGGTGTTACCTGGCTATCCTCTGTTCCAAGACCCAATTGTCCCCCAAGACCAAGGCCACAGCTGAAAACTTTCCCTCCTTTTGCCAGGAACAAGGTGTGGTTTTCACTCATAGATACCTGACATAATACATGAGATTATTCTGTAGATAAAAACATGGATTGGAACAGGTACACAGAGACAAGGATTAAGCCATGAGCAGGTAAACATGCAATGGAGGAGAGTTTATAGCAAGGCAAATCCTGCAGCATTAGAATGCAAACCCACACCCTACATCTCTCCATATCCCATTTTCACAGGCCCAGGAACAGTAATTTGACAGTGGTTAGGCTCTAGTCTTGTCCTACAAGCTAGCCTGAGACCTTCATCACTGCACCATGGTTGGGCCCACATGACTTTCAGAGTAGCAGCCACTGACAGGATAGCAGCTTGAGTTTTTCATCCACTACCCAACAATCCCTATAAAATAACATGCTGGGTAAGTGCAATCTAGTAGTGGGCATCCTTTCAATTAAGGGGATGCTCATTTGGTCACATAATTACAGCCATGTACAAGAGCTGCCTTTCACTCTGCTTGTCTATGTTGGAACTATCCAACACAAAGCTGGGAGGAAACTGACAGCACTGATGGCAAACTCAACACTGCACCCAAGGCTTGGGGTTGTAAGTGCATTTGCATTGTGGTCCAGATCCTTCAAGGCTCATTGGTTCTCATTATGGTGGTCCAAAAAAATTGTTTTCTTTAATGTCCAAGTCTCATTCTCTCATTCCTGCACATATCCAAGAATAAAATTGCATAAGTTTTAGCTCAATCGGTTGATATTTAGAGGTAGCACAATGAACTTAATGATGCAGGTATACTTTTTTTTGGCTGATGCAACATTCTTTAACCAACCCATATCAGAAGACATACTGGAATGCATCGTCCCATGTCCTTCCACTAAACCTATGACCTAGAAAGGGAAAGACTTGCAGGCCTCATGTGTCAGGCTAAGGTAGAATTCCAGGTCAATTTGGCTGGTAAAATCATTAGATGCTGGAAGTCAGAGAATATAACTCATCTTTCTTTTTCCCCTTAAATTATTGCAAAATAAGTATTTAAAAAAAGTGGCTGTGTTCAGAAGACCTGAAGTAATTCTGAAATATAACTCCTTAGACAGTCTTTGAGTGAGATTCCTGGAGCAAAATTACCATCAAAGCTGCAAACACTTCAACTTTTCTTCCACCTCCATCAATAAAAAACCATCCATGAGAGTGCGTCAGATACTGTTCGAGAGATCTTGCACTTTTGGGAAAGCACAAGAATACCAACAACTCAAGAACAAAATGCCATAAAGAGGTTGGAAGAGCTTATTGAAAAGTACCAAAAGAACAGTCACACCATTGCTGCTACTGCACAAGAACTAAGTCCTGACAGAAAAAATTTAAATATCCAGAAGTACTATGCAAAGGATGAGAATTCAAAATTGGAAAGAGCTGAACAAGTGAGAATGGATTTTAGACCAAATTGTCCTCTTGTTGTGCATTGGGATGTAAAACTGATGACTGATTTAGTGATTAAAGGGATTGTTGATCATCTATCCATATTAGTCACAGGATCAGAAATTGAAAAACTTCTTGGTGTTTTGAAGTTGCCCAATGGAACTGGAGAAGCAATGGCCAAAGCAACAATGACAGTGTTAACTGAATGGGGAGTTGAAGAACTCGTGAAGGGGATGTGCTTTGATGCAACTTCAAGCAACACTGGTATTCATTGTGGAGCTTGCTCATAGTTGGAAAATTAGTTAGGTTGAAGCCTACTTCGGCTAGCATGTTGACATCATATTCATGAAGTCATCATTGGAGATATTTTCAATATTTGCTTTGAAGCCACAAGTGGACCAGATGTGTCACTCTTCAAACAATTCCAAAAGAAATGGAATTCCAAAGCCAAGAGGTCATTCAAAGTTCCAATAGACTTAACAAAAACTGATTTTGAAAAGGCACTGAGAGCTGAAGTCCTAGAATATGCCAGAAAGATCCTGCAGTGCAAAGAAAGACAGCCATATGCTGACTACAGAGAATTTCTTAAGCTCACATAGATCTATCTTGAGGAAACTCATCTCGGCGAAGTGAAATTCCTTGCTCCTGGAGCATTCCATCATGCATGATAGATGTCTAAGATGATCTGTTGCTAGAAAATCTTCCTCTTCAAAGACCAATTCAAACTTGCATCCTGAGAAGAGAGGGCTATGCTGGACTTCAGCAAGTTCAACATTAACTTACACGAAAGCCTGGCTTTCACGTTCGAATCCCATATCAAGTTGACTCTGGAGAAGTACAAATCAGAGAATGAGAAGGTTGCAGTGGTTGCCATGAAAGCCATGAAGCATCATTTGTGATATCTGAGTGACCTGTTAGTACCAGTGAGCTTATTCTCAAATGAAGTGACAAATGCAGAGAAGGACATGGTATCAAATATGTTGAAAGATGAGAAAGAAGAAAAAATAAGAAGCTTGAAAAGGACTGATGTTGATGATCCTAAAACAAAGCAAATGAAAGATCTCGTCACCTGATCTCTATGTCCTTACTCACTGCACTCAAAATATTGATCAATGGTTTTTACTAGGGCTGTCACGATAGCAGTTTTCAAAACATCGATGCATCGACCTAAACTATCGATAGTGTATTGATGCATCGGGCGGGAGGGGGGGGGGGGGCGCCAGAGGATTCCATCTTTCCTCGCCGCGATCGGAGCGCGGACCTCTATTTGGCTTCCATGATCTCACGCTTGTGATCCGAGGTGCAAGGGGAAGGCGTGACCTTCACAAAGAGTAATAAAACCAACCATGCTATCCGTCAACCATATCACACATGCAACCAACCATCGAAGATGACATCCATCCATCGATGGGTGCATCAGGGCAGCCCTAATTTTCTTCGTTCTACACTGTCTTTGGACATCGGCGCCGACAGATAGGAAACCTGCCGATGGTGCCAAACCGATGGTTGCTGAAACATCGGTACAACCCTAGAATAAGCAACGTCCACATTCACTTCGATTTCACCTCAAGTAGAAAAACGCCCCAAGTATAAAACGCCCTAAGGCAAGTTAAGAATTAAGAAAGTTAAGCCTGCAAACTAAAGTGATAGGAATATAGAGAGAGGATTAACCAATGTACGTTTCGAAATGAAGGGAGTATAAGAACAGTCCACTTTCACAGCATGCACCTCATGATATCGAGCCGGAGACAGAAACTGACATTAAAAAAAATCATATTCTCGGTCTTCCCCCCTCTCCTTTCCCACTTCCTGTCTCCGATCTGACTTTTTTTTCCCCTTCCCGTCTTTCATATAGTCAGTCCCAGCATTTCCGGAATTTGATTGTGAAAAGAAACCGCAAGCCCATTCAGGTCACGCCGCTTCTTCCTTTCCCCGCCGGGACGGACTGTATTGAACTGTACTCGCCTCAATCCAATGGGACATTTCCCCTTTAAAATCTTTTGCCTATGCATCGCGATGGTCGAAAAAACTATCGATATCTCCAACTATCGATAGCGGTATCGATGCATCGACCAACCAAATCATCACTAAAGATTAAGAACAAAAACAATACCTCCTACAAGTTGTTGAGCAGCATTGGAAAGACTTCGTAACAAGCAAAAAAGCAATGTCGGTCCAGAAGCTTGGAGAAACTGGGCAATAATGAACATTTAGTGATTGTGAAACCTCCCCCTTCTCCCCACCCCATGAAGGGCTAATGCAGCATGAGAGGGACCTGCATGTGTTGTCATGCCTCCAGGGCTTTATGGGCAAAAACTAAATGTCCATTGAGCTACCTTTAAATATGCTCCAATTGAGCTGAAATTGTGCACATAAATTTCCATTTCAAAGTGTACAAAGATGAGGGGTTACAACTAAAAAATATTCAAATTTGAAAAAAAAGTGGTTTTTTTTTTTTAAACCACTCTAGTACTCATGCCTTCCCTGCCATTGACAAATTTAAAATCAAAATTCAATATAAAAAATTCAAATTTTGGTGCAAATTTGTCACAAAACAAACTCAGCCTGTATCTTGGAAAATCTACCTGCTAGTCAATTTTCACAATGATCAGGCCAATATTTTAATAGTTATTGTCCGACGATGAGAGTGTGGACACAGACAGGCAGACACATACATACGCAATTACAGGGACAGGACAGGACCATAAGCGGTCTCTTTCCTTTTTGGAATGGAGGTCCACTAACAAGCTTACAAAAGATATCTGGACAGATTCCTTCTGAACTGAGTCACTTCCAAAGCAGTCAAATATATCTGGCTGTGTCTTGCTTTCCGTGACTCCCATACCCAGTTTATTGTTGGCATTGTTTCCCCAGGCATACAGTTCAAAGATCCGGTCATCAGCACCCAAAATACTGAACTCAAAAGGTTGTGTAGGTCGATCACAAAGCACTAGATCCAGTGCTGTCAGACCATTGTTATCAGTCAGGCTCAGCTTTGCTCCATTCTGAAATATGAAAAATCCTTCAACTTCAACATTGATAAATGGTTGATCAATCACAGAAAGTTTTGATAATCCCTGAATGACCTTCATAAGTGTGATTGCTGCTGGAATAAAACCATGGAAGAGACTTTGGTGAAGGGCAAAAGATCCAGTTTCCAGATTCTTCTCATTGAGCAGGATACCAGGTGACTTAAGTAGCCATGTAATGAGGTCACTCTTCCCTGTATTGGCTGCCACATGTAAGGCATGTCTCCCAATATCATCCAAGACCTAAAAGACAGTTCCTATTATGATGGGACTATCTGCCTATTATAGACATACATGGAAACCTACTGCATGCCTATGCCTAGGGTCAAAGAAACCAGTAAAGTTATGCCATTAGCATTAGGTCTATCTATCATATAGTCCATTTTGCCTGGGACATGGCAATATTCTTGCACTACCCTGCCCCAGCAGGGTTGGATGAAAGGGATTGTGTGTGCTGCACTCATAGAAGTCACATTATCCTAAAACATAATCCAGAATGGCATGATTTTGATTCTATCTCTAAGAGGAAAGTCACTGCTAGACTTTTAAATGTCCTGGATTCGCAAATGGAATAGGCAGTTTCTTTTATTCCAATATAGCATGTCAAAAGACCTTTTACTTGTTTAAGATCTCAAAAATATGTTTGACAATTCACAACCTAACTGTGATCACTTCCTCCCCATTGGCATTTGGCAATAGGCATTATTCCCCATACCACAACAAGCTCATTCATCTGCAAAGCCACATGCTTTGTTGTTTAATATTCTAAAGTATGCCTATCATCTGAGAAAGTTTCTTATAACACACACATAGGTGTTGGAACCAGGGGGGCAGGGATGGCAAATGCCCACTCACTTCTCCAGCAGGGCAGGCAGAGTATCTATTGCCCCCACACTTTTTTAACCTAATGGAAGTGTGTGTACACAGGTTCATGAAATGCATTCAGAGGTGTTTGGAGAGTAAATTTAGCTTGAAGCAAGGTTAATGCCTGAGGGGGATTGGTGTGGTACGGCACACTTGAAAGGTGTCCAGTGGGAGTTCCTTTTTCTCCCAGGTCCAAGATCTCCCATCTGATTTGGCTTATCCTCCCTCCTCTAAAGCCTTTCCTGGCGAAGAAGGGAGATCCCAGAGTCAGTCCCCTTCAGTCTGGCTTGAAACATTTTTATGGTAGGACAGTGAACAGAGGTTCAGTGCCATGTCACAGAAGAGAAGTGCTGCTCAAATGGGCACACTTTTTGATTTCATTATGAAACCAAAGGCAGCATAAGTTGAAGAAAACTCAGGAATTGAACATTTCAACAGTGTTGTGTCATCAATTGTCCTTATAGACGAGATTGCCCCAGAATCTGTGCCTGTCAGTGAAAATGGCCCCTTTCAGCCACAAAAATATAATTTCCAAAAAAAAAGGTGGCAGGGCATTCAATTCAAAGTACATTGAAATGTGGCCATGGCTTCCATACTTGCCCACGAAAGACATGGTTTTGGGTCATGTATGTTGTGAGGCATATCATATGAAGCTGCTACAAGCAAGTAATGTGGAACCAGCTTCGTGGAAATGAGATTCTCCTACTGGAAAAAGACAACATTTTGTTTCAAGTGTCACGAAGCATTGGTGTCACAGGGATGCAGTGTTTCGAATTTTGACTTTGAAATTGGGATCCGCTCAAGGTGTGGACATGCAGCCCAATGAGCAAAGTTGAAAAGAACAACTGGTCACCAGATCAGCCCTTCAGCTGAGTCTTGAATATGTTTAATTCTTCATGCAAATAATGAGACTGAAATGAATTTCATCTGAGAGAATGTAGAATCCACTTTGAAACCTGGATCAATTTGACCCTTGCAGGTGATCTTCTTATCAATAAGGTTTCTGGGTTGCCAAGGATTAGCTTTTCGAGGTCATGAGACCAACACAGGCAATTTTTTGGAATTGGTTCACCTTTTGGGAAGAGACATAAAAGCTGTTGAGAACTGGCTCTATCCAAGGGACAACTTCATGAGTTCCAATATCCAGAATGAAATAATATTGATGTTTGCATGAGCCATCCATAAGCCAAAGCAACACAGTCCTCCTCATTGGGCTTGATCGCAGATGGCACAACTGATGCCAATAGAAAGGAGCAATTCAGCATATGCCTGAGGATGGTGGAGAGCAAGATTTTGCAAGGAAAACTAAGGAGAGGAGGAGAATATTTGCATTTTAGATTTACATGAATTTGAGATTAAGATCCTGATCATATGTGAAGGAAATAGTAATTTTTGGAATTCCAGGAGTGGCCTGTCTCATTTGCCCCCCCCCCCCCACTTTCAAGGACATTCCTATGCCAATGAACACACATGCCCCTCTCTCCTCCAACATCCTTCAACTAAGCATTTTCTTCAGCTCTTGTACATTCACCCTTTAAAATTAATAAGCACCTAATGATGGGGCATCTTCTGCCATTTGACCAGAACAATGGGCAATAGACCCCATGATTTCTCTGCATGGGTTAAGTAAACACATTTGCTCTCATAGATCCAAGACCACAAGTCTGTCTTGTCCTTCCATAGCTTCTGTCTCACTCCTTCCCTGAAACCTATGTCATTCCTCTTCTTCAGAAAGGATGAAAGGGGCTTGGGATTCCAGGTCATTCTCTCTCTCAAATTCTCCACTGTTCATTATTTTTTTGAATACATCATCAAATGTTTTCATGAGACACAGTCGATATAAACATTAGGACAAGCTGAAATGAGTACAAGTGGGAACAAGGGAAAGCCCAGGCCTCTACAAGGATCCAAGGTTGTCCTGAAAACTATGAATAACTTACAATGTGATAAATATCAGCTATTAGGAATTATCAAAACTAGATATTAGATATTGCATTTGGTACATTCACCAGCAGAATACTTGATATCATACATAAACAAATTTGAATTCATGAAGGTTCAGAAGCTACTACTCCTTATGGTTCCCATGTCAGTCATCTGTTTCTGAAATTGTGAATAAGCAAAGCTCACCTCTTCACAAAAAAAAGTATAATCTGCCAGAAAAATACTCAGTTCACTTCTATGATCTAAGTCCCAAAGAGAACATCAAGCAACATATGCCATATTTTTCACCTCACTGGATTGGTTTTGAAACAGGGCACTGCAACATGAAAACTGAGTTGACTATTAACCGCATTAACAAACTACAAACTATTAACTCTGTCTTTCTTCCCTTCAATGGATGGCGCCCAACTGTCCACTCTATATCTACCAAAATATGCAAATGCTTAAGCAATGCATGGAGGAAAGTTGACAAGGAAGAAGCAATGGGGAAAGTGTATGCATTACTGATGGCCAAGCATCAGAATCAGACAGACAATCAAATGGGTGTAGGTGCTATACTCACTAGAGTTCCATGTTGTAGAGTATTCTTGATCTACCTACATGCACTTTGGTCATCATTCTATTGGTGTTGGCTATCTCAAGCCTAATTGTACATAGAAGGAAAGCAATAATAGGCTACTGTAGAAGATAACCTATTACATCCTCAAAATGCCAGGTCACATGTGAGATTCTTAAATTTTTACGTGTGATATAGGGAATAGTCACTTTCATGACATTTTGCTTATTTTTAATTACTTGCCATAATATTTTGTATTTAAAAGCCATTCTGCAAATTTGACAAGATTATTACCCAAAGTAATAAATTTAAAATGTTGACAATTATCCAATAATTGCAGTCATCACAAAAATTATTCAAACTGAATATAGGTTTTCTGACAACTATCTCAATGATAGCAGATTGTAAACAGATAACCCTTGGGTACTCCAAGGGCAAGCTAACATCAAGCCAATACAATCACATGCAATAAACCTAAGCCTTTTCATACCTAGGTCAGGGCCTAGGATCCAAGATCCAAGCAGTAACTCACCTTCTTCTGATCTTTACACAGCCAGAGCAAATATGCTGCTGCTTCCTGTTCTGATCCAGTAAGGATGGCAGTAGAGACCTGCTCATATAACCATTGGGGATTGTATAACTTTACTAGCTCCTCATCTTTGGATTGCTCACATCTCTTCCTTTGTCGACGACGCCGAGATCCACGCAAATGATCTGAACCTAATTTTATGCCTACTTCTGAGGCCTGAGGATGCAATTCTGTCATCAATGAATGCTCCCTTTAACCTGAAGAATAATAACACCATGAATTTAGATGGGCTTCATTTACTACCATACTCACCTTCTTGACTGAACACAGAGTTTGCCTAATCCTAATAATGCCTAATGTAATAAAATAATATCAAATGGCATGATTGAAGGGTGGATAAGAATTAAAATACATGCATAATATACTAAATTAAAATCTAGCAGGCACCACATCATTGTTCTATGGGAGATTTTTGCTTCATAGCGTTTCGGAACAGGAGATAGATTTAGCTGAGTGATGTACTATCAAGCTGGATGGGACAAACTTCTTCTAAGGCTTGGTGCAATATGAGGCCAAGTTCTAAGTCTATGGTGCATTCAGTTTATCCTTTACGGATTTACTTCGTAATGGAGTGAAAAAAAACTTCATTTATGCCCTTTGCGTACTACCATCTTCATTCGAGGACACATTTCAAAAGATAAGAAAGCTTGCAGAAGTGCATAGACGTGTTTAGAATTCCTATTCAAAGAGACTACTGTCACCTCGGCTGGGAAGAGGCGAGGTGCTTCAGTTACAACCGGGTATAGCCTTGAATCCGATGCTCCAACGGTTACCCCCTTCTACATTTGAGATGGAAAGGGTTAATGCAATGATTGAATCATGGTAAGTACAAAATCATTCCGAATTAATGGCAGGACAAAAATTCCCATAGCGATGATCTACTCTGATGTGACGTTCAGAATCTGCTGTGACATGTGGAACCCCGGTGGGAGGCGGGAGGAGGAAGAACGTATGATAAGCGTGGGCCCTACACTTAATTCATATCTACATGTGATAAGTCCAAGCTGCTAAGCGCGCGCCATTAACATCCCCGAGTGGGTTGCCGTGTTAGAATGCGATGTTGCCATTTCGCCAGTGTTCTCTTCAAGGTTAAAGGTTTGGGAAGAAGCGTCAAGAGACATTTTTACTCATTGAGACGTCTCGTGTTAAGGTCGATCGTTCATACAAAATAAGATAGGTCGACCGTAAAAACGTGAAAACAATTAGGCTCTGTCAAACCACATAATTCTTCGGAAATAGAAAGTACAGTGTGCATTCCCCGACGGGTTTCTGGAATCTAGGGAGGAGGAAAAACCCTTTCCTGAAAATCTGCTGCTCACGCGCCAATTCTGGAAATAGAGGATGCAGGCTAAATATGCGTGAATATGCAGATATAAACATAAATATGAATAATCGTGCAGAAATAACAAAATCTACATTGTTATGCATCATTATTATAGTGGCGTCAATCGCCTTCCTTCCAAGAAATCAGCCTCAATCTGGGTTTTATGGGGCTGCAGGGAAAGAATTCCTTAGCTTAAAATTCCGCCCCTCAAAATATTACTCTCAGCTTTTTATTTCAACCAGTTCTTTATCAAATTACTCACCCTACCTTGACTCCCGTGCGCCTCTTCTTTAACTCGTAACATCTTGTCACGAACGAAAGCTTTCGCGAAGTCCAAGAAGATAATCTCGATGGAGTTATTTTATTCTCTCAGTCCGTCACTCAATCGTAATATACAAGCAAGTTGGTGAGATATTTTTGTGACCTAATGCCCATGACGGGCACACTTTTAGTCAATTTTATGAGTTCAAACCGCCTCGGAATGTGGTCCTAAATGGGAGGTCGGAGAGGTAGGAAGTAGGGCGCTGCGGTATACCGGCATTTTCATCATACCAAGCTATTCGGTTCTCGTGATTATCATATACCCTTCTACATTTTTCTGTATTATCGTCACGGTATGAAAACTGCGGATACCGCCCATGTTCATATCGTCACCACGGTCTAGAAATCGTAGGACACCGCCTCTAATTATACTGCTGCCACGGCACCATATCAAGAACCATTTCTAAAAATAAAACACTTTGCCAACTATGCTCCCCTTCTCCATCGCCTGGGGAAAACCGAAGCCTTCCTGGAAGTCACCGGAGGGTATTTAGTCCGGACTCAAGCACCAAGATCCGACATTTTGGACCCACTTGCGCCTTGACTGTGCCCTTTGCTCGATGAGCCTGAGTACTCAATACTAGTATGAAACGTGCGGCCTTGCACAATAAGATGGTTTCTCTTCCTTGATGTTTATTTTTTTTTCCGAGATCCATGATTTGAGTCCTCTTAGCAACTTCAACCGCGGTATCATTCCTGGACACACCGACCAAATCCATCCATTTGGTGTGAAACGAACGAATCACCTTGCTTTCAATCGAATGTCACAGTGACCCGTATGAGTAAAACCTGAGCCCTAGTTCAGAGCTTGGGCTCAGAGCTCGAGTCGAGTCTGAGCTTTTTAAATAAATAAACTTTTGCTCCAGTGCGGAGCTTCAGTTCCGCGTTTTGGAGCCCAAGCTCCTAGGAGCTTGGATAATTCATTATAGCAGCGGATATTAAAACAGTCATTCAAATTGATTTCGACTCTCTCTCTCATTCCTCTCTTCCTCCCTTCGCATCGAGAGAAGATCGGGAAGCTCAGCTATCAAAATCGCTTTCGGAATAACTAGTTATAAAGTACTTACGATATTTGTCACCAGCACCTTGAGAATATGGATGCTCTGAGTGAGGAAAGGCGTGCAGAATATAATAGCTAGTTCTTCACCTAATAGAGAGAAGAAGCTATCATGTTCTTCATTTTCCCAGTATTAGCAGGGAAATTAACACGAACAGACTTTCACTTTGGGAATCAAATCTCTGATTTGATTCCCAATCACCAGCAGAACATACCTGGAGAAATTCGGAGGGTGAGTCAGACTCTACGATTCGGGTAAAAAATTCAACGTCTCGGGTATCTTCACAAGATGTTAATTGGAAAGTTCCATATCATCAAGAGGATATTACGATGTGATATTAGGATATTACAAATGAATTCCTCAGAAATGCCATCTAAAACACATGTACGTGAAGCACTCTTTCCATGATTGTAAGATAGGAATTGTCCAGGGGTTATTGGAAACAGGTGTCCCCAAGTAGATGAGGAAAAATTTTTCGCATGTGTTTGGATTTCGAATGTAGGACCCTTAGCCGTAATATCATTAAAGGAAGGTAGAAAATATTATATCATTAATAGCAATTAGCATTTCCCATAAACGGCAGTAATTATTTCCACAACATAGGGAGAAATCGAGGTTTACATGTTTTTAAACATATTTTAACATAGTACTAGTAGAATCTGAAAACTTCGAAATTTTCCTTTACATCGTGGGCCATTATGGATCTTTAGAACAAAATCTGCACCCGGAGGTTTACATATGCCATTATGGATCACAAAGAGACCTTGTAGCGTCTGCCCCTTGGCAGAATCCGATTATTGCAAGCTTCAGTTCAAGGGTTGAGACAAAGCCTCCTTTTATTCGTACAAAATGCCATCTATAAAGGAGGGAACTAGATCTCCCAGCATGGAGTTGCAGCTCACGGAGCTCAAGCTTTGTGCACTTCATTCATTTCATCACAAATGAAGCTGTGCCTCCAATTTAGTTAAGCTCAAGCTCCAGCTCACTTTTATTCATACGGGCCAATACAGATGTGCGACCAGCTGGACGCCATCACAACAGAAAGACTCGCTCAGTTCGTGGGCTTTTTTCTGGGAGTTCGTAACTGAAGCACCCCCACCTCCCCGGCCTCGCCTGATAACCGGTATACAGCGGTACCGAGAAATGTACCGCATACCACGACGCCCTAATGAACAGTATATGAACCGAGACGTCCAAAGAGATAAGAAAGGAAATGGAAGGAAGAGTGGACTATCATGTATCTGCTCCGTCAATAATTTTCGTTGCAATGTGGTCTACCCATAGTTGGGGAAGTTTGCCCATTTTCGGCAAATGAGAGGGTCGGCCAAGTCGCAGTTATGAGCTAACTAACTCTAATTGAGAGTGCCACGTACCACCAAATCTCGTAGCGCCAAAACCACGTAGGACCAAAAACTGGCGCTCCGTATAGATAAAAACACCTAACGTAGAAAACATGGGACGGTCTCACGTGAGGTAAAATATTTTTTGGATCGAAAACACACAAAACTTCCTTGCATTGAATCACGTAACACCAAAACTCCTTTGCACCGAAAGCACCGTCAAGGCTCCCTAGCAACAGATTACATAGCATAATAAATGTAGAGCTCCTGGAGTTGGGCGACATCTACTTGTTGCGTTCCTAATTAATGGTAGTTTTCCTGAAAAAAAGATGTAAATGATGGCTCTGAACTTGCTCATGTGTTACCTTGGAGAGGCGTGCACCGTACCTTTTTCAGGGAGGGTAAATAAGGTTACCTATGCTGTTTTCTATATATACTGTATATAGTAAGAAATATTTCTTACATAAGTTCACCAGTATAGGACCTGGACCGCCTATGGACACATCCTTTGTGGAACTTGGCAACTTAACTGTGAACTTAACCCTTTAGAACAATTTCCATAAGAAAACAGGTTACTTCAAGTCAAATACATTATAGCTTCAATATGTCTATGGAACTCATATGGATTCACAATGGAGAAACGATAGACTGTTCACCGCGCACGCGGTCAGACACCATGTGCTCAAAAGCGGGAAAGGACAATATTTTCTATTTTATAAGTTTCTCATAGACTTGGAGCGTCGAATACTATTGAGCGATTTTGAACACTTGCAGAGACAAGCTAGTTTATAGGCTTGGTTTTCAATGATTTTTTCTCGGACATAGGAATAATAAATGTGAACATGGCAAAAATGAGAAAAGGTGAAGTATGAATTGGTCACTCTCCTAACGAGATTCAGGGGAAAAGATAGGTTCTTTCATGCATTACGAGAAAAAGACATCCGAATCTCTATCTTGTGACGTAACAAGCGATCAATATTAATTGGTCACTTGTCCCGTTCCAGATTCGAGAGTTAAGGCAGGTTCGCCTTCCTTTAATGATATTACGGCTAAGGGTCCTACATTCGAAATCCAAACACATGCGAAAAATTTTTCCTCATCTACTTGGGGACACCTGTTTCCAATAACCCCTGG